CGTCCCTCCACTCAGGCTGGAACTTGGCACGGGGTGAGGTCGGGTTAGTTCACTGCTGGCAGGGCATGGGGCCAGGAAGACCAGTGAAGCCAAATTAAGGCTTTGGTTCTCTAGATGGACTTGGCGTATCCTCATTCTCTAGAGGTGACCTGAGGGCTCATGTAAGGTGACCACCACCATCTTCCTCCTACTCCAACTGCATCAGCATCCGCCCTCCCTTATTTGCTGGGCTCCAATGCAAAGTTTCACTTAAATAAATATCAAAGGCTGTGAAGTTGAGATTGAAAGAGAGGAGACATATGGCAGGCATAATAATGACCTTAAAGGTGTCTGTCCTACCCCCCCAGGCCCTGTGACTATGATGGCTTACTTGCAAAAGGAAATGAAGGCTGCAGAGGGAAATAAAATTACTAGTCAGCAGACTAGGGCATCATCTGGGACCATCCAGATGTGCTCGCTGTAAGTAGGAAAGAAAGGCAGAAGAGGGGGAAGGGAAAGGAGGCAACAAAGCGGTTGGAGAGAGGCTGTGATAGGAGAGGAAGGCATCACTGATGAAGGCACACACAGCTTCCACAGAGCGCATCCTCCCCACCCAGCACCATCCTGCTGCTGGCCTGTATCCCTGCTGGCTAGTGAGATCCATTCTTGAACTCCGACCTCCGAAACTGTGATATAATAAATAAACCTGTGTCCCCCTGAGACGCTAAGTTTGTGGTCATTTGTGGCTGCAGAGATACAGAACTGACAGAAGCAGCATGAGAAATATTTCAGAAAAGAGGAATGGGGTCCTCAAACTGCAAGACTTGACTGAAGGGCAGAGCCGTGCAGAAGCCAGAGCAGCCTGGCCCAAAAGGAAGAAGGCCCTCAAGGACAGCGAGGGACGGCTCAAGGCCCAGAAGCCTGAGAAGCTTCTGAAGAATACTGTCTATTGCCTGAGCTTTGTTTGTGAGTGCCTAGATCCTTTGATTTGTTTTTTTGAGACAGAATAGCTTGTGTAGCCCAGGCTGGCTTTGAACTCCTTATCCATCTGCTCCTACCCTCATGCTGTGTGTGTCTCCACCCAGTCAAGTTTATGCATTCTCCTCCATCTCCAGCAACGACTCCTCCTAGCACTTGCCCAGGGTGAGCAAGAGGTCCTCAGTCACTTCCTGGACACTGGCTAGGGTCCTAGCTTGGGGGCTGGTCCTGGGGGTTAGACCAACAAACAGTTCTCCTAAATAAGGGTGACTCAGTGAGGAAGGCAAAGGGTGCAGGTCAGCCTTTCAGGTCCTGAACTTTCACAGTGAGCCTTCTCTGGCCAGTTCTTCACTCAAGGGGGCCCAGAAAAGCTCAAGGAGTGAAAACAATAGGGGAAGCAGAAAAAAGCACCTGGAGCACAGAGGAGGAAGCCAGACCTTCAGGCTCTTTCATCATTTATTTGTTTTGGAACTCTTGGGAGGTGGAGCCAGGAGAGCAAGGAGTTCATGGGCAGCCTTAGTATATAGGGACTTCCAAGAAAGTTTGGGCTATACAAAACTATTAGACAGACAGACAGATAGGTAGATAGATAGATAGATGATAGATAGATAGGTACGTAGATAGGTAGATAGATAGATAAATAGATAGATAGAGCGATGGATAGATGCCATTCATCCTTTTGGTAAACAAGGAAGGAAGCAGACCCTGAATTGCAGGGGCAATAGGAAAAACCTGGGCTCTGCCTTCCAAGGGCTCCCAGGTAAAGTGACAAGTATTGGCTGGTGACAGAGTTTTAAATTATCAGAACCTTATAACAAGTGATAATATGGCAGGTAAAGTTATCCTGGCAGAGGAAGCAAAGTGTGGATGGAAATACAAATTGGGGTTCGATCGCCACACAGCTGCACAGCTGTGACAGTCCTGATGTTTGGGACTGATGGAATGACAAAGGAATGCTCTGTAACCACAGCAGGCCTCCTCCACAGCCTCAGAAGACCAGTGTGGCCTGGGACATTGGCCTGTGAATCCATTGCATCAGCCACAGAAAGGACTGGCTTTTCTCAGAACCAGGGGTGGGTTGGGGGAAGTTGGGAACCTGCCAGTTTCCTGGGTCCTCTCTGGTCAGGACTTCATACCAAGCCTCTAACAGTCCTGCTTATAGCACATTCTCTGAACAGCAAAGACACGTGTTACAGCTTAGGTAGAAAGAATCTGGACCTCTTGGTATGACTGAGGGTCCCTGTCACTTCTCCAATAAACAGTCCCTAGACTCTTGATATCTCCATATCCAGAGGGAAATTTTTTCAGCTTGAAAAACCCCTCCATTAAGCCCAATTTCTCCGGTCTCCAGGTAGGAGACAGGCCTACAGAGGTTTTGCGTATGGAGTCAGCTGTCCCTTTAAGGACTTCTTGGGGGGGGTTGGTAGCACTTGTTCCTTCTTGGAGGATCTTCTGCAGAAGCCAGCTGCTGCACAGCACACTGCTGACCCTAGCTTGTTATCTTACTTATTTTCTCCCTAACATCTGTTACAACGTGGAGAGTGTGGCGGTGCGGTCAGATTTCATGTTTATCATGCCCCACCCCCACCACTCCCCAGATCTCAACGGCCACGTGTGCTGTTAGGACATAGTGCTGTCACATGGAAGGCTCTTGGTGCAGGGGCTTCTCCTGGCCTTCCAGCTCACTGTGTGGGCTGAGTGACCTCGGGCAGAAGCAGGGCAGAGCATGGGTCTAAGGCCTCTGACCTTGGGAGGGTGATGTGTAATTGGAGGTCAAACTCAAGGCCTTATGCCATGCTAGGCAAACCCTCTCTTCCCATCTACAGTCTCGGTTCAGTAGCACTTCTGACCCTGGACCTCACCAGTCAGGACTGGAGAGAAACTGTCACAGGGAGGAGCATAGGAGATGGAGGTATGTGCTTCAGTGGGGGGATGCATGCTAAGTTTGAGCTTAGCCCTGAAAGGGGTGGGGAGAGGGAGGGGAGAGAGTCTTAGCAGCCTAACAGAGCAGCCCGGAGCCCACAGCCCACAGGCGTTAGGTGACAATTGTGCCTGTAGACAGCATTTCTAAACCGGAAAGGCTATCTCCCTACCTTGGTCTGCAGCCACCTAGGCTCAGGGCCAGCTGAGGTTACTTGGGGTCTGGCGGCCTGGGTGCCACTTGCTCACCTCACCCTTGTGCCACATTCACATGGTGTTCCTGGCCAGGCCCTTGACCCCAGTCCCTTGACCCCAGTCCCTCTGCGGCCAATTCAGTTTGTCCAGCTTGGGGCATTCAGGGCAATGTTATTCCACGAGACACGTCAGTCATCCTCAGTTTCTGCATGTGGCTGTAGTCTTGGAAAAGACTACGGAGAGTGTGTGTGAGTAAGTGTGTATATGTGAGTGTGTGTGTACATGTTAATGTATGTGTGCGTGTGAGTGTGTGTATGTGTGAGTATGTGTATGTATGAGTGTGTGTATGTGTGAGTGTGTGTGTAGTGACTGAACATAGGGCCTGCCTTCTGCTGTGACACATAGGCTGGGCTCGTTCTGTCCAGGGCTGTCCATCTGCCATGGAGACTGGGGGCTGCCACAGTCAGGCCATGCTGCCTGGGACCTGGTTGTGTAGACACCCTCACTCCTTCCTACAGCCCCCACATGCTCAGCACACATGGAAGTAGGGCTGGTGCACGGCTTTAATCCCATCACTCGAGAAGCAGAGCAGATGTCTGAGTTCAGGGCCAGCCTGGTTTACAGAACGGGTTCTGGGACAGCCAGGGCTACACAGAGAAACCCTGGTTCAAAAAACCAAAAATACTAAACTAAACCAAACCAAAGCCTAAACAACAACAAAAACCGCGTGAGGCACAAGGGCCAGGTACGACGCCCTTACCCTCGAGTTTAAGGTGCAGAGACCTGAACAAAATTAGCCCTTGAGTTTTCTAACTGCGACAGAAGAGGCCCAGGGATGACCTGACTACTGGGTCAGAGGCAGGAGGCAGCTGTTCCAAAGGCTCCTGGGGCCCTTCTGGCTGTTCTCCATGCCACGCTGGAGTCAGCTCTTCCAGACCTGACCACAACAGAACACTTTGTTTGCCAGTTCTCGCTTGGTGGCCCTGGGCTTCGGGCACTAAGGCGGAGAGCAATGCCCTTAGGGACCTGAATGTGGATTCAAAAGGAGTTACACAACCAGGGTGGAAAGGCCTTCCTTGGAGATTTCCAGACCTTTCAGGTGCATGCCAGAGCCAGGGAGTCTGGCTGCATCGCAACTCTGAGTGGCACCATGTCCTGCCTCGTGGCCTTGGGATGGACCCACTCCTCAGGAAGAATTTCTCCCCGGAAAAGGTAAAAAGCATGATCCTAGGGCTAGAAGTGAGTCAACAAGGCAGTTACTTAAAAGAGCACTTTTGCTCTTACAGAGGATCGGGGTTCAGTCCTCAGAACCCACATGGTGTCTCCAAACATCTGTAAATTCAGTCCCAGAGGATCCAACACTCGCCTCTTCTGACCTCTACAGGCAACAGTACACAGGCGGTGCACAGACATCCGGGCAGAAGACTCATACATGCAAGATACTTAAAGACCAACCAACCCAAACCTTCATTTACTTAATTCTGTTTTGTGTATTTGCTTATTTATTTACTTGTGGTGATGTGATCAAAGGCAGAGCCCCTGCATGCTGTGAATCCTAATACTGAGCTGCAAATCCAGCCCCTCAATTGTTTTTTTGGTTTTAGTTTTGGCTTTCTCTGAGACAAGATTTTACTTTGTAGCTTAGGCTGGCCTGGAACTCGTTATGTAGACCAGGCTGGTGATCCCACTGCCTCAGCCTCCTGAGCATGGCAGGTGTGAGTCAGCACACCTTTAACTTAACACATTAACTTGGAAAAAAAACTGCTCTTTCCCAGTCCACTTTAGGAAACGATTTGGCGCCAAGTCTTTGCTGCTGACCGGTGTAGGTTACGCTGGGCTAACGTGCCCTGCCAACAGCTCTGTTCACAGACACGTGCTTGTTGGAAAAGTACTGCAAAGAGGGGTGCTGGGACTTGAGCATGACAGTACCCATTCGGGCCAAACTTGTGGCCCTGCCTTCAGGGCTCTTGGTCCTGCACTGAGCTGCTCCGTTTCAGGACAGCGTCCCTGTGTTCATTTCATGGCCAGGTGCTCAGATAAACGAAGTGAGCTGTGTGCCTTAGGAGGGAGGCAAGCAGCAAAGGGGCAACCTGACTTCAGGTAACCTCAAAAAACTACTGATTGCCTGCAGTCAAGTGTACTGGGTGCCCAGGGGACAGCTTCCCTCTAACTGGCTGGGCAGGCTGCTGAAGGAAGAGCTGGCCTCTCGCTGAGGCAGTCATGCAGACCTGAGATGACAAGCACAAGGCTGGCAGGCTGGTCCCTGGGTAGATGGATCACCTGATTTACACACTGGAGCCCAAACCCGGGGATTGGCTCAGAACAGGGGCTGTGTTGATCCAGCGGCTGGGCTTTGGCACCCTGTCAATCTGCTGTCTGCTCAGAAGCCTAGAAATAGTGCCGGGGCAGTCGGCTGGGCTGTGAGAAAGGAGGCAGCCATGCAGGTGCTCACGAAGCGCTACCCCAGGAACTGCCTGCTGACTGTCATGGACCGGTACTCGGCTGTGGTGCGGAACATGGAGCAGGTGGTGATGATCCCCAGCCTTCTGCGGGATGTGCAGCTGAGCCGGCCTGGGGGCTCGGCCCAGGAGGGAGCCCCTGATCTCTACACCTACTTCACCATGCTCAAGGCCATCTGTGTGGAAGTGGACCACGGGCTGCTGCCAAGTGAGGAGTGGCAGGCTAAGGTGGCCGGCAGCGAAGCCAGTGAGGGCGAGAATGGAGCTGCTGAAACAGAAGAGGCTGAGGAAGACAGGATCTCGGAGGAGCTGGACCTGGAAGCCCAGTTCCATCTGCACTTCTCCAGCCTCCATCACATCCTTACCCACCTTACCCGGAAAGCCCAGGAGGTGACGAGGAAATACCAGGAAATGACAGGACAGGTCCTGTAGGTCTCCGGCTCTGAGGAAGGTAATGGCGGCCATGCTAGTGGGTTATAATCCATAAAGGAATGGTGGTGTAACTTAGGAGGAGGCCAAGTGAGCTCTCATACCAGGGTGTTGGGACTCTCACTTGGGAAGGCCCAGAACTGGGCCTGCCTCTCTAGCCTTCTCACCCAGGATTGATAAGCAATGACTACGAACTCCTACAGGGAACAGAAATGTAGCCTAGGAACACATCCCTCCTGAGAACCTGTGTGTGTGATGTGCATTTGTTAGTAAATACATAGATGTCTGTAGATTGACTCAAATCAGTCTATTCTCAAGGCCAGCTTTTTAAAGACTTTGGGATTATTTCTATGTTCTAGTTTGGGGTGGGGGCACTGTGCATACATGGCATATGATTGGAGGTCAGAGGACGACATGTAGGTCCGAGGGATTGAACTCTGATCACCAGACTTGGTGGAAGGCACCTTTGTCTGCTGAGCCATCTGGCTGGCCCTTTATGAAGTTATTATTACTGGGTGTGTGAACATGGTGTGTGCTCCGGGCGAGCGTGCTCTGGTGTGTGCGGAAGTCAGAGGACAACTTGGGGCGGGGGTCAGTATCCTCCTTCCGCCTTTAACTTTCAGGGATCAAACTCAGGTCACCCGGCGAACTTCACCCACTGAACCACCTCACCACTCCAAAGCCCCACAGTCACTTCTCCTCCTCCACCTCTCTTCCCCTCACCCTTTTTTAAGATAGGGTGTCTCTATAAAGCTCTGGCTCCTGCCTCCACCTCCAGAGTACCAGGAGTAAAGGTATGTATCACTAAGCTCAGCTTCAAAGTCAAGTTCTTAGCAGGGTGCAGTGGCACATGCCTGTAATCCCAGCGTTGGGGAATTTGAGGCCAGAAGGTAGATCTCTCTGAGTTCCAGGCGAGCCAGGGCTACACAGAGAAACCCTGTCTCAAAACACCAAAACAACAACAACAAAACAAAAACACACAAAAATAAAACGAAGTTAAGTTTTTTAGAAATCTAATTATAAACCAGGCGTGGTGGCACATGCCTGTAATCCCAGCACTCCCTGGGAAATTTGAGGTCAGCCTGGTCTACAAAGCATATCCAGGATAGCCAAGGCTACACAGAGAAACTCTGTCTCAAAAAAAAAACCAAAACCAAAACCAAACAAACAAGCCCAACAACAAATCCGTCCAGGCTGTTCTCAAATTTGCCATTCTCCTGCATGTCTCCCAAATTCTGGGACTGAAGGTGGCACTAAAGATGAGGTTTTTGTTTTCATTTTGCAAGTGAAGATCCTTACCAAGGAAGATGTATTTGTGTAAATGTGCACTGTGGATTCTATGTGTGTGTGCGTGCGTGCGCTGTCTCATAACATGGAGAACTATCCTTTCCTGGCACATGGGGCCATGTAGGGAAAACTGCTCACAGCACCCCTGAAACTAGCACCAATGCTCCACCTATCCATGCAAACAGACAAAGAGCAACTACTGTGACATTTGAGTTATTTCAGTCACAGGAGGGTGTGGAAGTGCCTGCTGGGAATTCCTGAGCCCATGCATCGAGGCTGGGTTTGTGAAACGAGAGTAAACAGCAAACAAACAGGCCATGATACAGAGTAGCATGTAGGAAAAGGGCCAGGGCCATGGGTCTCTCGTAGCAGGGACTGGGAGAAATCGGATAACAGTGTCTGCTGGTTTTGAACGTGGGCCACTTGCCAGCCTGACTTCATTATAGCAGGCATCAGTTACAAAGCACTGTATACAGGACTGAGACACCAGATCAGCACCTCCAGGGAGGCTGTGATGGCTCGGCAGGTAAAGGCACCTGCCACCCCTGACAACCTGGTATTGATCCCTGGAACTCACATGGTAGAGAATGGACTTCTGCGAGTTGTCCTCTGTCCCCACATATGCACTGTGGCTTATGCACTGCACCCTTCAACATAAAAGAACTGTACCTCATTTGCTAGTAAGGGATTAGAGTAGGTAAATTGAGCGACCCGTCTGAAGTCATGTAGTTAGTGAAGGGACAAAAGCTGGGTGAGACATGGTGTACTCTAGCACTCAGAGGTGGAGGTAGAATTGGTAGTTCAGGCTAGCCTCACACACTAAAACCTAACCAACAAGCAAACAAAGAGCAAAACTGGCCCCAACTTTGAGCTGAACATTCTTTCCAACATACTCATTCTTCGCCATTTTAGAAAGATGGAGAATCAGCACGCCTCCCTCCCCCAGAGACTAGACAGAAATTCCATGCCAAGTACTGTCCTAGCTGTTTTCTTTTCTCCACTTCAAACCAGAACTGTCAACCTCAGCCCTATTTCCCTCTCCCCTTGAGGCTTTCCGGGCTACCTTCCAAAGGATCTCCTTGAATTCAACTAGGCTGAATCAATAGCCAGGGGTCTCAGGGGAGCTGAGCCTCAATCCTATACCCATCACGAAACACCAAAGAGCTGTGAAGCTGTAGAAAAGCTGCTGTCATTCCTTGTTTGTTTCTTCACTTCACAGTAATAATAGTAATGAGAATGACTGGCATTTGAATAGTGTTTAAATTACTTGCATATGAATTATTTAATGGATCATCATTACCTTAAAATGTTATTGTTGAACGGGTATGGATTTAGCTCATTGGTAGAGCACTTGCCTAATTAGCCCAAGGCCCTGGGTTTGGTCCTCAACCCCCTCTAGCGGATGGGGAGAAACTTTTGTTATTGTATGTACAGACTGTGCACAAGCACATGCAGGCTCCTGTGCTGAAAAACAACTTTAAGTTGGTCTCTCCTTCCAACAAGGGTTCCAGGCATGGCAGTACTTCAGTTCCAGCACTTGGGAGGTAGAGGTGGGAGGATCAGAAGTTCAAGGCCACCCTACAATACATAGCATGCTTGAGGTCAGAGTGTGCTACACAAGTCCCTGTCCCAAAACCTAAACCAAGCCAAACCAGACAACAGAGGAAGAAAGAAAGAAAGAAAGAAAGAAAGAGAGAGAGAGAGAGAGAGAAAGAAAGAAAGAAAGAAAGAAAGAAAGAAAGAAAGAAAGAAAGAAAGAAAGAAAGAAAGAAAGAAGGAAAGAAAACAAAAACAAACCAAACCCCCCGGAGAACTGAGGAGATGACCCCAATTGCCTGCCCTGGCTTGCCTCTCATTCTTTCCTTCCACACTGGTGGGTTTTGTGCTCCTTACAATACAGCCTGCAGCCTAGGGTGGAAATGGCAACTGGGAATGGCAGAGGAGGTAGAAACCACACTCTCCGACTAAACAGCTTGAAAGGCTAGAGCAGCCCTTCTATACCATAATAGTACAACTCTGACCTGGCCTTCATTCGTGGAGACAGCATAGCGTGGCAGAGGTTCAAAATCCTAGGTTCTTCTCTCAGCTTCACTGTCACTCTGCCTGCCACCCTGGGCCTCTCGCCTGAGAAAAAGCAGCCCCAGCACTGGTGGCCTTTGACACAGTGGTTCTCAACTGGGGGTCAAACGACCCCTAAACCCACCGCAAAACACAGATATTTACAGTAGCAAAATTACAATTATGAAGCAGCAAGAAAAATAATTGTATGGTTAAAATAATCTTGGGGGCCGCTAGCACAGGAGGAAGTGTTGAAGGGTCGCAGCATTAGGGAGGTTCAGAAGCACTGCTCTTCGCCTCAGGCTTGAGGCGCTACCAGGTTTCAAACAGCAACATCAGCATGTTTTTCTTACCGTTTCAGTAGGCGTGGGGCAGTGGTTGTTCGAAGTTGTAGACATTTGGCTTTTTAAACATTTCCACATGCAACAGGTCACCTTACAGGAGAGAGGGGAGACTGACGAGGACTCAGCGGTGCAGCAGCCTTGAGACCAGAAAGGAAGGCCTGGAGCAGCTCAAGTGAGGGCGACTGTGTCTCCGGGCTTCTCCACCTCCCTCTGAGTGCCTCCATGGACTCGGCTGCAGGCTTACCTTTAAGATGTTTGTTGCGACTCCCAACTTCTCTTTGTTGTCTTAGCAGTCTGAGGTTCACAGGGCAGCAAGGATCCGTAGAAAGCAAAGGTACCAGCAAGTGGCCGACGTTAACAGCCCACCTCTTGGATGTCAGTTAGTGCCTGGGGTCACAAGTTATTCCCTGGAGGCAAAATTCTGCCATGTATAAAACAGGGCTGCTGTTTTATACCTCACAAGGTTACTGAACGGAAACACAGGATCGGAAGTACTCGCATGCGCTGACGACTGAACAGCTGGGGTTTCTCGTATTTTTCTTGGGGTACATGCTATGTGTAGCTCTTGTTCCTCACCCCCGGGAAAACGCTGAGGTAGCTGACTGTGTGGATGAGCTATTCACCCTGTTGGATCTGATGACCACCGATGAGGCTGAGCACAGGTGAACTGTGAACCTAATTATTGCAGTAGCAATTAAAAGAAAAAAACAAACAAAAAAAAAAAAAACACGGCATGCTGGTATGTCTTTTTTTAAAACACTTTTTATTGATTCTTTGTGAATTTCACATCATGGCCCCCAATCCCACTCATCTCCCCATTCCTCCACATCTGTCCCCTGCCTTGCAACCTCCCCCACAAAATAAACAAACAAGAAATCTTGCTGTGGAAGCTGGGGTGTCACACTGTATACCCTTTTGCCCAAACAGCTTTTCTTGCAAATATTCATTGCAATGAGTCATTGGTCTGGTTTGAGGCCTTGCCTTCTGCTGCACTGTCAATACTGCATCCTCACTGGGCCTCCTCGAAGATATCTTGTTGTTGTCTGTGCTGTGGAGATCTTGCAGCTTTGGTTCTGGAAGACCAGCCCCTTCAACCTACTCACAGTTATTCATGGGACAGATGTTGGGATAGGCCAACTCAGTGCCCTGGATCTGAGCCTGGGTGGTGGCTGGGTTGGTTAGCCTGACAGTTTTCCCACAATCCATTGCAGCCAGCTCTCCCACACCCAGTATACTTGGGCCAGCTCTACTGTGTTGCTCAGATGAGGTGCAGAACCAACTCTCCTGCTCTCAAGCCCTCAGGGCCAGCTCTCCCATACTGCCCAAGTGAGGGGCAGGGCCAGCTCTGCACAGCCCTCAGACATTAACATGGCTCCAGCTGGCAAACCAGACCAGGGACATCCTGATGTCCTTTGGTGGTAACAGACCTCACTGCTGAGGGCCACGGACCTAGACATGGCCCTCAGCAGCAGCACAGGCCAGGATCTCACCACGGCTCAGGTGCAGCGCAGGCTACTCACATCAGGCTGTTGCTCAGTCTCCAGTTCTCTCTTCATTGTGCACACATCATTCTGCTTCTCTTTCTCTTCCAAGTGTCTTCCACAGGTGTCTCTTTTTTAAAAGTACTTTCCTAAAAACATCTTTTATTCTCCTGGTGTAATTGTGGTCTCCAAGGTTTACCCCCTCCATCTGCTAACCTAGGCCTGGAAGCTGCTAGCCTCCACACAATCTAATCTAGGCCTAGAATGTTTTCAGCCTCTGAGACTTATTGCTGAATAAACTCACCCTTTCTAGTTCTTTCTGAACTCTGGCTGGTTGGTTCAGCTCAGCTGTTTTAACTCAGATTCCTCTCCAAGGTGACTGATTCAAATTGGCTTCTCTCAGCTCCTCAGTGAATTGCTCTACTTGGCGCCATACTAATTTTGGCAGAATGTTCTAATCTTCTGACTCCTCATTCTCTGGCTTGTTCTGTCTTCGCCTGTGTCTAGCTTGTTTTCTCTTTAATCTGTCTCTGTTAAACTGCCTCTGAATTCCGTGCACTGAACAAACTCAGCTTCACCGCCTTTCAACTCACTGTCAGCTGAGCTGCCTAAACTGCACTGACCAGAACTCTGAGATCTGCATTGCCTGTCTCCTGAGTGCTGGGATTAAAGGTATGTACATCATGTCTGGACTCAAGCTTTTCTTTTTTAAAAATGTATTATGTTTTTTGTTTGTATGTTTTTTAATGTATGAGTACTCTGTCTGCATGTACACCTGCATGCCAGAAGAGGGCATCCGATCCTTGGTTTGTTTTTTTTTTTATTAATTACACTTTATTCATTTTGTATCCCCCCATAAGCCCCTCCCTCCTCCCCTGCCGATCCCACCCTCCCTCCCCTTTCTGCATGCATGCCACTCCCCAAGTCCACTGATAGGGGAGGTCCTTCTCTCCTTCTTTCTGATCTTAGTCTATCAGTTCTCATCAAAAGTGGCTGCATTGTCCTCTTCTGTGGCCTGGTAAGGCTGCTCCCCCCTCAGGGGGAGGTGATCAACGATTATGTCAGGCCAATCAGATTATGTCAGAGGCAGTCCCTCTTCCCATTACTATGTAACCCACTTGGACACTGAACTGCCATGGGCTACACCTGTGCAGGGGTTCCAGGTCATCTCCACAAATAGTCCTTGGTTGGAGTATAATTTTCTGGGAAGTTCCCTGTGTTCAAATTATCTTGTTCTGTTGCTCTCCTTGTGGAGTTCCCGTCCCCTCCAGCTCTTACTATTTCCCACTTCTTATATAAAATTCCATTCACTCTGCCCATCAGTTGGCCATCAGGCTCAGCATCTGCTTTGACAGTCTATACTGCAGAAGCTTTCAGAGGCCCTCTTTGATCCTTGGGTTTTTTTTGTTTTTGTAGATGGTTGCTGGGAATTGAACTCAGGACCTCTGGAAGATCAGCCAGTGCTCTTAACCACTGAGAGCCATCTCTCCAGCATCTAAGCTTTCTTTTACCCGAAACTTGCTCTGTATTAGGCTGGCCTTGAACTCAGATCTGCGTCTGTCTCCTGGGATTAAATGCATGTCTGTATTCCAGCCAGATCACACAGACCTAAGAGGTCTCTGAATGTGATCTCTTGACAGAGCAGCCATGTTCTGAATTAAAATTCCTCTACATACTTTCTCTAATACAATTTCCACAAGTGAACTCATGGATGCTGAATTCATTTGATTTTTCCCAGAAACAATTTGTTATATTCATATTGTTACCCAATTTGAAATAAAGTACTGGGCTAGAGAGGTGGCTCAGAGGTTAAGAGCACTGCTTGCTCTTCCAGAGGTCCTGAGTTCAATTCCCAGCAAGCATATGGTGGCTCACAACCATCTATAATGAAATCTTGTGACCGCTTCTGGCGTTCAGGTGCACATGTAGGCAGAACACTGAATACATAATAAAATAAATAAATCTTAAAAAAAAAAAAAGAAAAAAAAGAAATTAAGTACTTACCAATTTTACTCACCTCGAAAACCTAATCAGATTACATCTAATCCTGTATAAAAAAAAAAGGAGTTTGGACAGCATTTGGATTTGATAATCTATAAAGAACTATCTCCCTGGAGGCAAAGAGAGATGGATCTCTGAGGTCCAGCCTACATAATGAGATCCTGATTCAACAAACACATCCTGCTTGCTAGGTGTGGTCTTCTAGTGTCGCTCTTTCAGCAGACCTGAGTCATCTTTTCTAGCATGATCTATCCAGGTATCCAGGTGCAAAGCTTTAGCGAACTATCCATCCTGCTGGATCTTCCCAAATGCCATTCTGTCTTGTTGCTCAGAAATACAAACCTGTTCTCATTAAAAACATTTAAGGGGCCTGGCAAGACGGTAGTGGGTAAGGGTGATTGTCACCAAGCCCGAAGACCTGAGCTGGCCCCCTGGAACTCACATAAGGACAGAACCAGCGCCCACAGAATGTCCTGCACTCATATGCCATGGCATGTGCACACACCCTAAATGTGAAGTGAAATAAAGCCTTTGGTGAGCAGGGAGTGTCTTAACCCTAGTGCCTGGACAAACTGAGGCAGGGGTCAAAAGGACAAGGTTAGCTGGGCTACATAGGAATGAAGTCTCATAAAAACCCAAATCAAAACCAAAGAAAACATTGCTCTAGCAACTTCCCAGAACTTACTGGGATCAAGTTGAAATCTCTTTTCACGATATAAGCCCTTCCTAATCTGGCTTATTTTGTACCTTTCTTGCACCAGCAAAGAGGCATGGGAATGCTGGTGAAGGGTCACGTACTATCTCAGTCTTTACAAGGCAAAGTTGTCACAACTATTCAAGTCTGCAGTTATAGCATTAAAGCAGCCACAAACAATGCATAAACAAATGAACGAACATGGTTGCCTTCTAATAAAACTTTATCAACACTGGGCTTCACATACAGCTCAATTACTGGAATTCTTGCCCAGCAAGTATGAAGCTCTGGATTCAATCCCCAAAACTGAATAAAATGGGTGCTATATGGCATACCCACGATCCCAGTATTGGAAAGGTAATGTCAGAAATAAGTTTAATGTTTGACTATATAGTGAGTTCAAATCCATCCTAGAGACCTTGCCTCAAAAACCAAACCAAACAACAAAAAACCACTTCCCATAACTTTATCAGTAGTAAGCCAGATCTGACCACATACTAGTTTTTCTAATTTTTCTTTCTTTCTTTTTTTTTTTTTTTTTTTTGTATTGCTAAGAATGGAACCAGGGCCTTGTAGCTGCTAGAAAAGTATTCTACAGAGATATGTCCACAGTCTTGAAGTTTAAAAATATTTCAACTGGAGGGAGGGGCCTGGAGAGATGGTTCAGCTCTTAAGAGCAGTGGTTGCTCTTCCAGAGGACCCAGGTTCAATTCCCAGTACCCACACGGTGGCTCACAACCATCTGTAACTCCAGTTGATGAGGATCCAGCACCTTTTCCTGGCCACCAAGGGCACCTACTCAGTGCACAGACACACATGCATGCAAAACAATGTAATACATAAAGTAAAAATAAATGAATCTAAAAAAAAAAAAAACAAAAAACCTTTCAGGCAGGCACAGTGGCAGAACGCCTGTAATTCCAGCACTCTGGAAGGCAGAGGCATGTGAATCTCTGTGAGTTCGAGGCCAGCCTCATCTACAAAGTGAGTCCAGGACAGCCAGGGCTACACAGAGAAACCCTGTCTCAAACAAAACAAAATCTTTCAAATGGGCTGGTAAGATGGCCTACAGTAAAAGGTACTTGCTGCCAAGTCTGGAGCCCTGAGTTTGATTCATAGGACCCACATAGTAGGAGAAAGGACTTTTGCTCTTTTCTGACCTTCACATGCATACATAATGCACATAGTAAATTAATGCAAAATACTTTGTCTGTCAAACATCTTAAAAATGGGGGAATAAGGTGCCAAGGAGGAGGTTCTGTGGGTAAAGGCAACAACAAGCTGGATGACCTCATCAATCCCTGGGTTGGTGGAGGAGAAAACTGACTCCTACAAGATGTCCTCTGAGGGCCACACACATCATGGCACACACAAGTGTGTTCTCTCTCTTACACACACACACACACACACACACACAGATTAAAGGTGTATACTACATGCATGGCTAATCATCCATGGCATGATTTTTTTTTTCAATGAGCCAGTTTTCTTTAAAAAAAACAAAATACAAAACAAGGATTCGAAGTTGGGGAGGAGGAATTGTAGGAGCCAGAGGGGTCAAGCACACCAGAACACAGCCCACAGAATTGACTACTCGGGCTAATGGAGCTCCCAGAGACTGAACTGGCAATCAGAGTATGCATGGGTCTGTTAGAGCCTCTGCATATAAAGTATGGTTGTTGCTCAGCGTCTTGGGGTAACTCCTGACAGTGGGAGTGGGGTTATCCCTGACCACTGCCTGCTTTTGGGGTCTTTTTCCTCTCACTGCATGTCCTTGCCCAGCCTGGATGTGAGGGTTTGTACCTGTTCTTAGTGTATTATTGTGACTTGTTTGGTTGATGTCCTGGGGAGGTCTGCTCCTTTCTGGGGGCAGACAGAGGCGGGACTGGATCTAGGGGAGAGGGAGGAGTGGAGGGAAAGGAAGCTGTGGTTGGGATATATCCAACAAACCTCAAGGATTCAGAAGTCAGGTTTAGCATGGGCACACACCTGCAATCCTAGCACTTGGGAGGCCTCAGCAGCATTGCTGGTTTGAGGCCAGCCCGAGCCACACAGCAAAACTCTGTCTCAAGATGAGTATAGTGGTATACAACTGAAACCTGCAAATTTAGAAGGCGGAGACATGAGGATCAGGAGTTCAAGGTCAGCTGAGTTATAGAGACCCAGCTCTAAAATACAGACATACCTACTTTTGGTTGTTTTTGAAACAGGCTTCCATATAACCCTGGCTGATTGGAACTTGCTATGTAGACCAGGCTGGCTGAAAACTCATAGAGATCCACCTGCCTTTGCTTTCCTATGCTATAATTAAAGGTGTGCGCTACCATACCCAGCTAAATACATAAAAAATTTTTAAAGGAGTCTTGCTGGAGAGATGGCTCAGCAGTTAAGAGTGTATACTGCTCTTGCAAGGATGAGAATTCAGTCCCAAGCACACACTGGGCACTTCACATCCACCTATAAATTCCAGTTACAGGGCATCTGACACCCGCTTCTGACCTCCTTGGATACTCACGTGTACAAACCTACATACACACAAGCATGCATGCACATAACACAATTAAAATAAGCAGATAAAAGAAAAGGAGTCACAATAACTATTTTAATTATAGGTGTTAACATATTAACCTAAACTTTAACAGCCACAGAAAGATATTCCGTAAAATTCAGAAATTTTCAGGTTGTGGTGAACAGGAGCAAGCCTTTTGAAGACTTCAACGCACTGGATGGAATGGCTCAAGAATTTCACCGTAAGTTTTCTTCTCTGTGGAAGAATAAAGGATTCATTTTAGTTATACTTTAAAAATTCTATTTCTTGGGCTAGGGATGTGGCTCAGGAGTGGAACATTGGCTGAGTGTGTGAGGCCCCAGGCTTATTCCTCAGCATTCAAAATACATAAACAAACAAACAAACAAGGTTTGGGTCTGGAGAGCTAGCTCAGCAGTTAGGAGACAGGCTGGTCTTCCAGATGACCCTGATTCGATTTCCAGTGTCTACATGGCTGCTCACAACTGTCTGTACTCCAATTCCAGGGGATCCAACATTCTCTTCTGGCCTCCTCAGATACAGACATGGTACACACGCATACACGCGGGCACCCATCCATATACATAAGATAATGACGATGACGATGATAAGTAGATAAATAAGGTCATGTTGAAAAAGAAAGGCCAACACAACTTGTCTTAGTGATGTAAACTCCGCTGAATGCTGTGCCTCTCCCTAACTCACGCTGGAGCTCAGTTCCCAACACCATGGGAGTAAGAAGTGGGCTGTGGACTGTGACTAGGTGGGAAAGCACAGGGCCATTCTGAGTGGATACGTTCTTATTAACGACATGGATTCAAAAGATTCTAGTCTATACCCAGCCAGCACCTGAGCCATGGGCCCGGACTACGTCAACCACGGTAAATGAGACAAATGAAACAAAGAGGTTTTTCATTTTTCAATTAACATGAAATACCTTTTTCAGGAAAATCTTCTGGATGTAACTTCATATAACTGAACAAGTCACGGTCCTTCAGAGCATACAAGTAGTCTTTACGCTTTAAAAAAAAATATCCAGCAAAGACAAAGGAAGTAACATATAGAAGCTGGCGATGCAAACCTGTAATTGACAAACCCCCAAAGGGGGGGAACAATCAGTCAAAGTGCAGAGAGATTACATTTTTAGGTTACATCTCACACACATTACTATGGCACTCTTGCCAACGTTCTCTAAGAACACCCCCACCCCGCTCCCACCAGGGTCTCACACAGCCCAGGAGCCTGCACTTCAGTTTCCTCTCCACACCTCCCTCCATCTCAGAGAACAGCAGGACCGGTCACCAAAGAGTTGAGGACACTTTCATCTTCCAGCCTCCTTCCCTGACCCAAACTCTCATGTCGAGTACCATGCCCTGCTACTGCCGTGCCCAGTGACTGCATTTCCATGCTGCAGCCCAGGTACCGATGCCCTTACAATGGTTCCTTAGGCTGTGGAGTTCAAAGGGTGAACTCATTTCTGTTACAAATTATACCATAATTTGTTCCTGTCTCTACCATCAGGGCAAGCAATGTCTCATTCATCTGGCTAGACCAATCAGCATATAGCACCTAATACATATTTGTTAAATGAATGGCTTTGGGCAAGTAAACTTACTATCTCTGAAAAAAAGAAAATACCTGATGGGTGGTGGTGCACGCCTTTAATCCCAGCACTTGTGAAGTAGAGGCAGGTGGATCTCTGAGTTCAAGTCCAGCTTGGCCTACAGAGTGAGTTCTAGGATAGCCAGGGCTACACAGAGAAACCTTGTCTCAAAAAACAAACAGCAAAAACAAAATACATACTACATCTTATTCTAGTAATATACAAACCAAGACAAAATGTATATAAAGTTATCTTGGAAAATGTAAAAACCAATACAAATAAAATATATTCTTTTTAAAATAATTTTTATTTTATGTGTGTATGTGAATGTGTGCCTGAGTGTATATGTATGTGCATGACACGCATGTACTAGCCTGTACAGGTCAAAAAGGGGGGTTGGGTCCTCTGGAACTCAACTTACAGGCATTTCTGAGCTCCCATGTGAATAGTGGAAATCAAACCTGGGTCCTCTGAAAGCGCAGTAAGATACTCCTAACCTCCCTGCAAGACATTCTCTAGTCTGGGACTGTAGAGGGTCCAGGTTCTTTTATTCAAACAACCTCTAACCCCCAAACTGAGCCACAGTGAGCCAGAGTTCCAAGCCCTCCAATGTGCCACCGAAGGACACAGAGACCCAGACTCTGCAGTGACCCACTGTACCACATGGCAATACCTTGGTCTCAGCTGAAGCCCTTACACTTGTTGTAGACACTGAAGTCAACACCCAAACTCTAAAGGCCCGGCTTGGGGCTCCCACTTCTCCAGCTTCCTTTCTCTCTGTATTTTCCTCCACAACTACCTGCCCTTTCTTCTTCATGAACCTAAACTTTGAAGCCATTGTGCTATTTACATTAGCAATGTTACACAATGTTACAACAAACATTTAAGTTTCAGAATAAATTACCAACTAACTCAAAGTGGTTATCAATAAGGGTTTTAAAACACTGATGACAGGTGATAGAATATTTAGTATTTCCTACAAACTTAAAAGAAGTTTGCAGACATTTACTTCATTGCAACATTCCACCATTATCTGCAGAATGCTGAGTATTCTCCAAGGTTATCGTCCAAAAATCCATCACTCACCTCATTTCCCACTCCTTCAACTCAAGAAACACCATGCATGGCTTACACCTGCTACTGGATGTTATGGACTGAATGGGAAATGTCCTCCACTTAACCCTTTGTTCCCCAGTTGGTGGCACTATTTTGGGAAATTGTGGAACTTTAGGTGGCTGGGTCTACCTGGCTCACTGGTCTCGAGAGCCTGAGGTCTTATAACCTGACCCCAAGTCCTGTCTCATCTGTTTCCTGATCTTCTCAGATGTGAGCAGCCCCTCGCTGGACGGCTAAATCTATCTCTCTCTAATCTGTCTGTCTCTTTTTTTCTGACAAGGTATCATTATGCAGTCCTGGCTGTCCTGAACTTGCTATGTAGACCAGACTAGCCTCAAGCTCACAGAACTCTGCCTGCCCCTGTCTCTGGAGTGCAAGGATTAAAAGCATGCGCCGCTCTGCCCAGAGGCTACATTTTCTTCCAGGTCCCTTAAAATAAATCTTTCCTCTCTTTAGTACCTTTATCCAGGTGTTCTATCTACCACAGTGTAAATCTAACTAGTACAGAAAACTGTTATTCATGACTCAAACAACTTTTATAATATGTTTTATCTCGGCTAAAGTTTCCACCACGACCCATGAAGTTGCCAGATCCACCTCCATGACCTCTCTGTGATCCAGCAGAGAGGTTGAATCTCTTGTTTAGAAAGGGCGCTTTTCACTTCACAATTATGCCCAGTATTAGTGTGGTATTTCTGAACAATTTTTTCAACCGTGTCATGATCATCAAAAGTTACAAAAGCAGGGGCTGGAGAGACGGCTCAGAGGTTAAGAGCACTGCTTGCTCTTCCAGAGGTCCTGAGTTCCTGAGTTCAATTCCCAGCAACCACATGGTGGCTCACAACCATCTATAATGAAATCTGGTGCCCTCTTCTGGTGTTCAGGTGCACATGCAGGCAGAACATTATCTATGTAATAAAATAAATAAATCTTAAAAAAAAAAATCACAAAGGCAAATCCTCTCTTTTTTCCACTCTGCCTGTTTTCCATAACTTCTATGGTTTTAATCTTGCCATACTTTTCAAAGTAGTTTCTCAGATTATATTCTTCTGTATCTTCTTAAATACCACCAACAAAAATTTTCTTCACTATTAAATGGACACCAGGCTCCCAGAACCCTCTCTAGGAATGGCTCTCTGTGGTTCCCTTTGTGTGGCAACGCAGACATTACAGCATCACCTCTTCACACAAGAGCAGGGCACAAACCCAAAGCCCCTGGACCGTTTTGTTTGGACATCTCATTACCACAGTCTCTAAGTGCACCCCACTTCTCACAATGTTCTCTTAAGCTATCATCTGCAGTTTCAAAGCACAGACCACCAATAAACAGCTTCTTCGGGTGTGTTGGCTCCTTTGAATCATGGCCCCCCAACCTGTGTCTAGCACAGAGAAAAGTTCAGCCAACTCTCGCTCAGCACTTTTTGTGTGTTATGAACTTATCTAAGAACTAACTGAATGCCATAACCACATTACTTGCCAAAGTGACACAGACAGGAAACAATGGAGTAAAATCATGTAGTTCCCAGGTGACAGACTTAGGCAAATGTGATATGGGGGGGAGGGGGAATGTTAATAGATAAAGACCATTTCCAAGAGAGATGGGCTTCCAGTAGTGTCTGAGTACTAGTGATCCTTCAGGCCTAACAGAAATGATTAGCTGGGATGATTCCTAATGGCTGGAACCATTTCATTAGCTTTTCTGTATCTGTGGTTCTTAGCTCCAACTGATGGGTCACATTGCTGACAGTCCTGACCCTTACCACTGAACTCCCTCAGCTCTGCCAAGTTTTTAATGTCTAACCCACCCAGAGAATAAATTGCCATCCTTTACATAATTTCTGCAGCCTTAACACCCCAATCTTGCACACTAAGTAATCAAAGGCACCAGCTTTCAGACGTCCTTGGGCCCCTCCCCAGGCCTAGAAGGCTCTTTTGACTTTTGCCTGATACTGGAAGTGAAGTTCCCAGCTGGTGAGATGGCTAAAGTCACTTGCCATGAAACCTGACCACTGCAGTTCAATGCCCAGGATTGGTGGCGGGAAGAAAACCTCCACATACCCACATACAAATAATAAATACAACAACGTCCAAAGACACCCAAAGTTAGTTTCTTTCTCTGTCTTTGGAATTCTATGGTTCTTAGCACAGCTACGTCGTCAGCTATAATCAATCTTGACAGGAAGCCGGTGACATTCTAGAATATACAACTTGCTGGTTTATTGACAGTCTCCTATTCAAAATGTTTGCCCCAGAATGGCAGCAGTGGTATCCTCTGGAGTCTGTACATAAAAACAGACCCCTCCTCTGACCTTCCTTAAAATATTTTAATTATTATTATTTTTTTAAAAGATATATTGTTTATTTATTTTACATGAGTGCTCTGCTTGTACATCTGCATGCCAGAAGAGGGCATCAGGTCCCAGTATAGATGGTTGGGAGCCACCATGTTGGTTGCTGGGAACCGTAGATTATTCTCATGCGCTTCAAGTCTGAGAAGCTCTGGTTCTGAACACACACTAACACAACCTCCGCTCCTTAACTAGCCACGTGACCGTGGGCAAGCTCCGCGTCCTTGTTAATGACAATACTTTCCCATGTCTCCCCCGCCCCCAAGACCCACTATCATGATCGGAAGAGTGACAGCAGTGTAAGGCATGGAGTGAGCAAGCGTTTAGCAGGAAACTCAGCGCGAACAGTGAGGAGCCCTCTCGGGTCCCTCACAGACTGTGTGTGGGGTTTAGACTTCCCCGCTGCGCCGCACTCGGCTGTCTTTAATGTGGCTAGGCTCGGTTCTGAAGAGCTCCAGGGGGTCCCGCTCAGGCAGCAAGGCCCGGAAGAGCACGGATGCCGGGGGCGGCCCCCCGCAGCCCTCACCTGCCCTCAGCACAGGTCTCATCCGCAACGCGTTGTCCAGCAGGCCGGTGCAGTAGCCCATGAAGCCGATGTAGAGGAGCCGCGGGTCGTTCAGCCTGGGCGGGGGCAGGCTCCGGGCCTCATCCGGCAGGAATGTCCAGCGCTCGTGGCCCGGCCGCTCGTTCATCGTATTGATGCCGGTTGTACGTGAGGTCTGATCTCAAGACTCCAACTGTAAGAAAAACGACGACGACGACCCAGCTACAGTGCTCCTCCCAGCTCCGGGCTGAAGGGCATAGCGTAGGACGGTGCAGCACCCAAAAGCTTCCCTGCGCGCGCAGCCTCCGGAAGTCCTGCACGCGAGGTTCCGGGCTTCTAAATGGCCCGCAATGCGTGCAGGCTCGCCCTGACGTTGGAGTGAGGGTTTAGGGGCCAGGTACCAGCCAAGTCCAGGGGAACAGTAAAGGACCCAAAGTGGGCAAAGACTAGGAGACACTGATATTTGTTTGTTTTGCCCAGTTCTCACACATGAAATTCTCTCTTACTTGCCTCTCAGCCTCATGGCTCTTCAGATTCTTTCCATCAACACCCACAAGTGGTCGTGATGGATAGTTAATTTATTGAAAGCCCATAAAAGCTAGCTTTCTGGGTTTTTAGGCGTTCGTTAGCAGTCACATTCCCCATCCCCCAAAGCCTAAAATTAAGATACGGTCAGCAAGAGTATTCTGAGAAGACCAGGAGCGGATCATTTAACCAGATTTAGTTTTGGTAATTAGCAGTCTGCTAAAATAGTTCCCTCTGGGCCTTCAGGTCTATGTGCATGACTGAGGGAAGTGTTCCCTAAAGAATTAAGGAGTGAAAGAAGGAACGTATAACGTTGTGTCAAGCCATTGCTCAGTCTCTCTCTGCTCACCATCCAAGAATAAAGGACGTTTCCGTATTTGAGCAGCTCCCTTCTGTAAAGCCCTTCCTGATACTGAACTAAAATGTCTTCGTTTTCTGTGCATTTGTTGGTGCCATTTTATCCAGAAGAATGCTCACTAAACCACAGGTTAAGACAAATGTCCGTGCGTCAAAGACCCTAGTGCTCTACGCCAGCTGAGTTAAGTGTGGACATTCCTCCATTTTTGCACTCTTCGAGAACGATTCAGTGAGACACACAGATAAAAGCGTTTGACGCAACGTAAGCAAATCTTGTAAAAGCATAGTGGTATGTGACTCTTGCCCTAGCAGTTGGCAAGCAGGAAGGTCATCCTTGGGTACAGGAGTCCCTGCCTAAAGAAACATTAGACAAACAAGACATAAAAGCAATACAGTTGCCTGAGCATATGCAGACCATGAGGAAGAGAAAGGGAGACTTGTGTAGGGTCTGGGAGTTTACCTAACCTTTACCACAGTTCTAGAGTTAGCAAATTTAAGTGGTTTTCTTTCCCCTGTCTCTTTGTTCAACACTGGTTTGAACTGGATGCTCTTTATTCCCTCTTGAGATTTGCTCAGGGGTTTTCATTTGGTCCCACAGAGCCTGCTAGCTCATTATACTGCCTTAAGGTATGGAGGAAGAGGACTTAAAAGAACCATGACCAGGGTCTCCTATTAGGGACCCCCCCCCAAAAAAAAACAAAAACAAAAACAAAAACAGAATGAGACCCTTTTCCACAGCTCTACCACTGACCTCTAACTTCTACCTAACAGGCCGGAGCCTGGCTGTGTTGCTTATTATGCACAAGGCAAGTAGGTGGACTTATTTTTATTTTTCAAGACAGGGTCTTCCCATGTCTCGGTATAGCACTAACTGGCCTGAAATTAGCTGGTTAGACCAAGTTAGCTTCAAACTAACGGTAAGCCTCCAGCCGCTACCCCCCGCGTGCTGGGATTATAGTCCTGTACCACTCTGCTCACCTCCACCCCAGAGGTGATCAAGTGCCAAGTGCCGCGCACCAATAAAAAGCACTCCTGAACTGAAATGTCTTAGGTACATTCTTTTTCAAATAAAAATTATTGGAGAAAGCATATGTTAGGATTTTCCTGAAACAGACCAAATGATTTGTAAGTCCACACCTTAAGGCGCAGTGATTATATATCTCCTAATCCGTCCTACACTAGTCTGACACTGCAGGACGAGTTGGCTCACACCTGTAATTTCATCACTTGGGGGCTAGGAAGTTCCAAAAGTTGAGGTCAGCTTTGGCCACAGAGTGAGACAAAACAAAACAAGAAACCAGGGGTTCAGGATGTGGCATAGTGATGGGGTACTTGCCTAGTGTGCACTAAGTTCAAGTCCCATCCTCAGCTCAACACTACACAAAACAAATTGAACAACAACAAAAACATAAGGAGTCTTTTATGCATTTTTTTTTAAAGATAGAGTCTTGAGGGCTGGAGCGATGGCTAAGAGTTATGAGTGCTTTCTGGCAGGAGTGGTGGTGCACGCCTGAAATCCCAGCACTCTGGGAAGCAGAGGCAGTTGGATCTCTGTGAGTTCGAGGTCAGCCATGCTGATTTTCCAGATGAGCACACACTGGTTGGCTTAGAGCTGCCTGTAACTCCAGCTCCAGAGGGTCATATGTTTTCTGTGGCCATATACACACAGAGGCGCACATAGTCACATATTAAAAATAAAGCCAAGCTGGCCTCAAACACACAATGTAGCTGAGACCGGCTTTGAACTCATGACCTCCTGACTCTACCTCCCATATCCTGAGATCACAGGTGTGTGTCAGCACACCCAGCTTGCAGGTGACTTTTTGTTGTTTTGCTTTTTGCCACAGTGTTTGTTTTAAAATTATATTAGAAGAATGAAATCCACCAAAAGTACTCTCCAGAAAGAATTCCGACTCGTCAGACTATTAGGCAAACACACATTTACACTATTTCGCATATTTTTGCACTGAGCACAGTGAGAAGTCTCAGCTTCCCAGCCACCTGTACAGGGTTCCGTCATGGAGGCTCACCCATCCATCCTCAGCAGACCACTCTCCTCTAGGCCTCAATCTGAGACTTATTATTATTATTTTTTTTTACAGTATGTGCATGCATGCACGTGTGCCACGGACGGAGGACAGCTTCGGAGTTTGCTCTCTCCTTCCACTCTATGGTTTGGGGATCAAATGAAGGTTGTCAAACGTGGTGACATGTGCCTTTGCACACTGGACCATCTCACTGCCCGATTTTTTTTTTAAAGAAAAAAATTTAAAAGAAATTTACATAGTAACACATAGTTGTGATCTCAGCACTTGTGAGGCAGACGCAGGATGCTTAGGAGGTCAAGAGTATTCTCAGCTACATAGTGAGTCCAAGGTCAGCCTGGGCAACATGAGATCTTGTCTTAGAAACAATATCAAGGGCTGGAGAGATGGCTTAGAGGTTAAGAACACTGGCTGTTCTTCCAAAGGTCCTGACTTCAGTTCCTAGCAACCACACGGTGGCTCACAACCATCTATAATGCGATCTGGTATTTCCTTCTGGTGGGAAGACATACATGCAGGCAGAACATTTACAAATAGAAAATAAATAATACAAAAATAAAAATAAAAAACAATATCAGAAAGAGGCCACCTCAGCTAGGGGGCAGTGGTGCATGCCTGTGATCCTAGCACTCTGGGAGGCAGAGGCAGGTGGCCAGCCTGGTCTACAAAGTGAGTCCAGGACAGCCAAGACTACTCAGAGAAACCCTGCCTCCAAAAAAAAAACCCAACCAAACAAAAAAAAAACAACAAAACACCACCTTGAACAACATAAGATTTTGTGTCAACAAACAAATGAAATGAGAAAGGAAAGGGCCAACTTACTTTCAGGGTTCTGCTTTGTTTCTTCCTGGTTGGTACCAAGGAATTTTGGTGTAACTGACCAATCTTCATGAAAGAAAATGACGTGTGTCTCCTTACAAACAAGATTAAAAACATTTTATTTTTAATTGTGTGTGTAAGTGTCCATGAAGGTCAGAAGAGGGCACTGGCTCACCAGAGCTGGAACAGTTACAAGTAGTTTATGCGCCACCTGATAGGGGTGCTGGGAACTGAGCAGGGACCTTCCACAAGAACAATGTGGACTCTCAAACGCCAAGTTCAGAGCTGGTGCGTCCAGGCTCACCAACAGTACTGCTACAATGTTCAATGAACCATGCCTGAAGTCCAACCTCCTTGTATGTACAAATAAAAGTCCCTTTATCAATCAGTCTCCCAGCACTCCCTTTTCCAGCAGGAAGCTTACACAGTGTGCCTGGTAAGTCTGTTCAGGAACAGAGCAGGGCTGTAGCTGTAGCTCAGTTGGTAGGGTGCTTATTCAGTACACATAAGGCCTGGGTTCAAGCCCCAGTACTGCAAAAACTGGGTGTGAGATCTGTATGAACTCAGGATGCCTTTGCTTTGTGAGTTATTTTATTTTGAGACAGGTTCTCATGTTTCCCAGGATGGCTCTGTAGTTGAGGCTAACTTTGGACTCTGGATCTTTCTGACTCTAACAATCAAGTGCTGAGATTTGTCCTGTGCTACCAGATCCAGCCATAAATCACTTTAAATGACTTTATTTTTAAATTGTGTGTGTGTGTGTGCACACGCGAGTGCCCTCGGGAGTGTGTGGGGAGGTGGGTGTGTCAGAGTATGGGCACGTGGCCAGAGAAGGCATCGGATCCTCCGGAGCTGGAGTTACAGGAGGTTGTGAGCCACCTGACCAGGGAGCTGAGAACTGAACTTGGGTCCTCTGGAAGGGCAGTACGTACTCTTAAGCCATCTCTCTAGTGATGCCACACATCCCAACCCCCAGCCCCAACATTCTTTTTAAGGTCCTGAACTCACGGAGATTCACTGGCCTCTGCCACCACGGCAAGCTTTATTTTTTTAAATTATGTTTTATTTTTGTGTGTATGTGTGAGAGTTGGTTATCTCTTTCTACCATGTGTGTCCCAAGGATTGAACTCAAATCTTCAGGCCTGGTCGCAAGCACTTCTACCCACTGAGGTTCCTTGCTAGCCCTTTCTAGTTTTTGACTATGCTTAGCTCTGCGTTGCAGAAACATTTTAAAATAGCACTTCTACTTAGTTAGTAACTTTTTCTTTTTTTGTATTCCTTCTGGAGTTCGGGATTACATTCAAGGGCTTGCCCATGCTAGGTTAGCATACAGCCACTAAATATAGGCCCCTATAATTTTTAACATTAGGAATTTGTTTATAAAAAATAAACCCATCTCCATAGTCAGAGAATGATGGCAAAACACCTTTAATCCCAGCACGTGGGGGGCAAACACAGCCTCGTTAGAGTACCGGGACAGCTACAGTTACATAGTGAGACCTTGTCTCAAAAACAAACAAACAAACAAAAAACCCAAAAGCAAACAAACAAAAATAAAAGAGAGGAAGAAAGCGCATCCACTCTCTGCAAGGTTTAAAAGTATGAATACTAGGTACAGTGCCTGGAAAAGAATATTGAGGGCACACTGAGGTCTACGGACTGGCCTGTGTTGGTGCCAAAGGTGTATTCTTGTTTCTCAAACCATTTGTAGGGGTTGACTTACACTGAATAGGAAAAGGAATATGAAGCCAAATCCTGAAAATTGTTCAATCTGTGGTGACCAGCACAAGATGCCTGCTGTGAGATTTCTTCTACAAGTGTCAGAGAAGTTCCACCCGTGAAGTCCCATAAACACGACTTCATAAATGAGACCTGAGCAAGGGTGATACCAACAGACAGAAGCCTGGACCACGAACCAAAGACAACTAAAGAATGCTCAGAGTGGGAGAAAGCAGTCTTCCCCAGGGCACGCCAACTGGCTATCTAACACCAAGCAGTCAGCCCTAAAAATTATGTCCATACAAATAACATTATGTGGACTGAACATGTTATATTTCACACTTAAGGGACGTGTGTGTGTGTGTGTGTGTGTGTGTGTGTGTGTGTGTGTGTAAAACAATTGAAAAAAAAAAAAAGACCGGAATGCAAATGGTACATAAATATGCACGAAGGCAAAATATCCAACATAAAAATAAATAAATCTAACAACAAAAGAAAACAAGGCCAAGGGTCATGAATTTGAGAGTGTGAGGATGTGTGGGAGGGGTTGGAAAGAGGAAAACAATGTAATTATATTTTAATTTCAAAAAATTTTTCCATAAAGTTTTAACAGGTTTATTTATAATTAAGTTGAACTGTTGAAATGTGTTCATTGAAACAGTTTGCTTGCATTAATGCTTTACATCGTGCATTTATATTAACAATTAACGTACAAATGAAAATGGAAAAACTGCCAATACCTGATTTCTGTCCCCTATTTTTCTACTTGCAATCATATACTTAGGTACCTTTTGGCCCCATAGGGGGGAAAAATCTAACATTCAGACTACTGATAATAGGAAGAAGAGGAATTTTTTTTTTTTTTTTTTTTTTTTTTAGAATAGCAGACTCTTAAGCATCTTCTCCACACATGCAGCGTGCTAGATGGGTATTTTTTTGCATAATCGTTACGTTTGGCATAGAGAGCACACAGATAGCCAGCCAGATAGGCCTCACTTGCCTCTTGCAAAGCAGATCCGTTTTGAAGTCCCGAGCAATTTCTCGCACCAGACACTGGAAGGGGAGCTTGCGAATGAGAAATTCAGTGGACTTCTGATAGTGTCTGATTTCATGGAGTACCACAGCACCAGGCTGTAACGAGGTTCTTCACCCCTCCAGTAGAGGGCGCACTCTTTTGTGTGGCTTTTGTAGCCAGTTGCTCCCCAGGGGTGGATAGCGGGCAGCCTGGGTTGTCTGAGCCATGGTAAGGGCACCTCCATACTTACCCCTTCTTCTTCGGCTGGCAAGCGAGAGGTGGAGCTGGCGTTAGGTAGCAGCCTTGGCGCGGTGACGGCTTCAATCACTATTCTTAAATTTTTTAACAAAGAAAGCGCACACTTGCTTTGGTGGAAGTGGGGAGACAACACGCAGAAGCTCAGAGGCAGCTGAGAAGCTTGGCTGTCTGCAACGCTCAGGGCTCCCCGCACCGGGCGGCCACTCTCACCCTGCTACCCCATCACCTTCAGAGTGAGTCTACAAGTCGTGATTTAATTTGCACTGGCATCTAACTTAATTCATCCTCCGTGATCTTGCCAGGTGTGGTGACACGTGTGTGACTAGGCATGGTGGTGATCTTGCCAGGCCTGGAGGGCAGTAGGGACAAACCATGTCAAAAAAAAAAGGTTTAGATGGTGGTCTGCAAAATGTGGTGGTTCACTGGGTTTCCTGGGTTAGTTTATAGTAGTGGGGTTTTTGTTTTCCTTTTTTGAGAGGTGGCCTTCCATGTTGCCGGCTGGCCTCCCACCGTGGAGAGCTTCCTGCCTCCTTCCCAGTGCTAGGATTAGAGGCATGCACCATCATGCTTGACTTTTTTTTTCTACATTTATTTATTGTGTGTGTGTGCATGTGTGGGGGTTGCCATGGCACATACAGAGGTTGGAGGAACTTTCCAGAGTTCTGAGGATACAACTTAGGTGGCTGGGTTTGTGACAGATGCCTTTACCATCATCTCTCTGGCCCTATTTTGCTTTGAGTCAGGATTCTATGAAGCCCAGGCTGGCCTCAACCTCACTCTGTAGCTAAGGATGCCTTTTAATTCCTGATCCTCTGACCTCTACCTAAACGCTGGGACTTGTGCCAAAAGTCTAGACTTGTGTAATTTGAGGAAAACAGAAACATTCGTGGTAGCAGAGCCCTGGCACAGCAGGAGCATGTGTGGGGGAATGAAAAGGAAGATTAGAGGACAAAGATAAACAGCAACTGATAAGCACTGAACACTTAAAAAGGGCCCAGGCGTGGTGGCACATGCCTGCAATGCCATTACCCAGGAAGGAGAGGCCGGCAGGTACCGTGAATTCAAGGCAAGCCTGGTCTAGATATGGAGTTCCAGGCCTGCCAGGACTACGCAGTGAGACTGTCTGGACCCGCCTCACCCCACCCCCAAAGCTTCAGGCCATCTTCTATATAATCATTTTAGCGATAAAGACACTATGGTAAAGAGTGGTTAAATAATCTGTGAGACGGCTCAGTGGGTTAAGGTGCTTGTCATCAAGTAATCTGAGTTCAAGTTGGTACATGACAACAAGAGACGGTGAAAGGACAGAACTGACCCCTATGTTATCCCAGACTTCCACATGTGGGTGCCAGTGCATACACACACCGACACATAAACACACAAAATAAATGGAAGGGAAAAAAGAAAAAGCTTGATTTCTCAGCAGGCTGCCTGACTCCCAGTCCTCTGCTCTCTCATCACTATGCTGTGCTAGCTTTAATATTTACATATGTACACACACACACACCCATTACTTATGCTGGGACTGAACACAGGAAGCAAAGGGGATGGTAAAGCTAGAGCTCTGCTTTCTTCTCCCTTTGGCCCAAACCCCATCTTCATTGTTGAAACAACAGGCAATTTAATAGGCAGGATGGCTGGACCAGCACTCCAGGGATGACACTGAATCTGGGCTTTCTTAGTTCTGTAGGGATAATGGGTAACTGATATATGAACGTTGCTTGGTCAGCTAATGTTGGCTGCTTTGAATGTGCAGTAGATGGCAGGAGAACTGAGGACCTAGATAAAAAGTGTATGCATATATATGCAAGCACACACAGACAAATAGTAAAATACATCTTAAAAAAGTAAAGGGAGAAGAACTAAAAGCACTTCAGAGTGTGCACAGGAGGAAGCTTACACGGTGGTTTTCTGCAAACAGCAGGCCCTACTGTGAGAAAAAACTATAGTAGATAGTTAATGTGGTTTGGAGTCTCAGTGGCTTTGTAGGGCAGTACATTAACTATCCGCTGGCTTGTTGAGTGTTATCAGTGTGTCATTTCAGTGAGAACCTCTCTCCTGGGACAAGGTGCACAGAACAGAGACAATACACCATGTATCTATCAATAGGAAAATAAGTATAAGAGCTGGTAATGACCCAAAACATGCTGATATTTTATGCATAAATACAAAATGACATTTTATATTTCCTTAGGTACAAAATCTAATTAGGTATTACATCCTAACAGTGGTCAGCACCAGCTACAGGAAGTTATGCTGCTAACCACCTCTGGTTGCCCCTTCAGTGGGCACAGCAGTCTCAATGGCCGCAGACTATGTTAACACAGGAAAGTGAGCATTTTCTCAAACAGGTTTCGTTGCTTAGAGGGCAACTGGCTTCTCGCAATAGAGACAATCAGGTTGCTAGGCAGGGCAAGGCCAAGTGCGGAAGAATGGTCCTTAAACAGATCCAGTAAATAAATAGATCCTGCCCCTGGCAACTTTCTTCAAGCTCTGATTAGAATCCCATGAAGTAGTTGCTTGGCCTTCATCCAGACGCGTCTTTATTCACTGCTTCTTTGTCTTGCTCACACGACAGCCAGCCAACGCTGAAACATACAGCCTGATCCAGGCGTACGTGATGCCCACCGCACAATACCCTGAGGTCAGCAGCAAGGGGATGAAGGGGTACTTCAGCTTCCAGGAGGTAAAAGGGAATACGAATTCACAGCAGACTTCCAGAAGCCCCAGGCCAAGGAGGTAGGAAGTTTCCATCCAATTGAAGAGCTGTTTTTCCTTTCTGAAGGAGAGAAGTCTGGCTTTAGAGGAGCCACACTCGGTTTAGCAACACCCCCAGCTCTTGCCTTCCCACCTGTACTCCCTCCCTGTGAGTGACAGCCAGCGCTGCAGTCAAAGGCCGCATTCATGTTGTGCCGCTCCATGAACTCCACGATTTCATCTGCTGCACTTACCATGTGGCTCAGATAAAACCAGTCTTGTATTTAGAAGACAGGTAGGGAGGGGCGGGGCACTGTGACAACAGAGTAAGAACATCCATGGAATCTGGGAGTCCAAAAAATGCCTATTCTGGTAAAACGTAAGTCACACAAAATTTGATATTTTAATAACTTTTGAATGATTCAGTTTCAGTGGCCTTATGTACACTATTACTACTTTTAAAATATGATCCCCATGGGCTGGAGAGATGGCTCAGAGGTTAAGAGCACTGACTGTTCTTCCAAAGGTCCTGAGTTCAATTCCCAGCAACCACACAGTGGCTCATAACCATCTATAATGAGATCTGGTGCCTTCTTCTGGCCTGCAGGCAGAAAACTGTATAAATAATAAATAAACTTTAAACACAAAAACATGATCCCCAGCAGAGGCTACAGGACTGCTTTCCTTCAACCTCCTGTCTATGCATTTGCTTATTCCAGAATCAAACAACATTCGTGTTTTTATGTTTAGTTTATTTTCCTTTCCTCTCAGAGTCAAGGTCTTTCTGTGTGGCCCTGGCTGTCCTGGGACTCTCTCTGTAGAGCAGACTGGCTTCAAATTAAGAGAGCCTCTGCCTCGAAGGTGTGGGGGTTAAAGGCCTGTGCCACCACCATCCAATGACTGGTTCTTCTACATACTTAGCATTTTTTCCTTGTCAAGACTCATCCATGTCGCAGCATGTATCTGAACTCCACTCCTTTCTCTAGTATTCCATTGGAAAGACACACTGCATCTCATTTATAATTGACAGGGAGTGCTTTTTAAAAATTTTTTATTTTTAAAGTTTCTTTATTGACTGACTCAATTCATAGACCAGGCTGTTATTAAACTCACACAGATCTTTTGCTTTTGCCCCCTCCCCCACAGGAGTAGTATTAAAGGCACATGCCACCATGTCTCTCCCTTATTCTCATCTTTTGACAACTACCAATAACTTAACATGTTTGAGCAAATTCTCTTTCTCTCTGGTCCCTTACCTCAGGCAGGTTTCTCTGTATAACCCTGACTGTCTTAGAACTCACTCTGTAGACCAGGCTGGCCTCCTACTCAAAGATCTGCCTATCTCTGCGTCCCAAGTACTGGGATCAAAGATGCAGCCACCACTGCTGGCTTTCCAATAACGTTTTACATAGTGTAAGTCTACTTTAATTTTTTCCATTTGTATCTGTAGCCATGTAACCTTATCCACAATGACTAAGGTTTTAAGTTAGGCAGTCTTCTTCATGTACCCCCCAAATTGAGGATATAACTTAGGCTGCCATGTCAGAAGCTCAGGGTTATGGGCATTCTCTCCTCTACTTATCAAGCATTTGTAATGGATCCACCACTGCTGCAACAGCAATGACTGCGTGTGCACATGTGTGTACATGCTGCATGCACACGTGTGGAGGCCACAGGGTGAAGTTAGGTGTCTGGAATTGCTTCTCTACCTTTTTTAAGAAAAAGTCATTTTATGTGTATGAGTGTTTTGCCTTCGTATACATCTGTGCACTAAATGTGTGCCTGGTGCCCACGGAGGCCAGAAAAAGGGGTTGAACCCGTGAGACTGGAGTTACAGATAGTTTTGAGTCATCATGTGGGTGCTAGGAATCAAACGGGGGTTCTTTAGAACAGCCAGTGCTGTAACTGTTCCAGGCCTTGCCTTAGTTTCTTAGACTGGAACAAGCAAGCATGCCTGCATGCGCACACAGAGTACATCACTGACTGGCTACCCAGGGACTGACTACAGGTGCACACAGTACCTGTTTTATGGGGCTACTAGGAATCTGAACTCCAGGCCTCCTGCCTACACAGAAAGCTCTACCACCGGAACCACCACCCCAGCCCCAACTGAAAAACATGTTTGAAATCCTCTTTGACTATTTAAAAGCAAACATCTCACAAAAGAGAATATAACCTTAAATGTAATTCTAAAATTACCTGAATAGTGTCTTCAGTGAGGAAATACTGTATGTGGTGAATAGTAACATGAGTAAGATTTTAATGGGAAGTTCTGTTAAAAAAGAAAAAATACAGATGATAAGACAGCACATGGACATTGTTAATATGCCTTTCTTTCTTCCTTCCTTTCCTTTTTTTTAAGACAGAGTCTGTGTACATATCCCCAGCTGGCCCAGAACGCTCTGTGTAGGCCAGGCTGACTTTGAACTCACAGAGATCTACCTGCCTCCAACCTCTGAGTGCTGGGATTACAGGTATGTGCCACTACACACCTTTTTTCTTCTTGAGACAGGGTTTCCTGTGTAAAAGAGCCCTGGCTGTCCTGGAACTTGATCCATAGACCAGGCTGGGCCTCGATCTCACAGAGATACAGCTGCCTCTGCCTCTGCCTCTGCCTCCCGAGTGCTGGAATTAAAGGGGTGTGCCACCACCACCTGGCATATGAAGCATCTAAATCTACTCAAAACTAGGGGCAAACTGGAGGTTTTATTTAAGAGAAAGAACAAAGGTCTCTTCTTCCAGAAGATTCCCAGGTATTTAAGTAGAAGCACAGTTTTAAAGACAGGATGGAAAGGGCATGGTGAGACGTTATATCTTTCTAAAAAGATGCCACTTACCTGGTGCAGTGAAGAGCAGAGGGAAGAGGGAGTAATGTCCTGTTGTGGTCAGAATCAGAAAAACTTTTGCATCTCCTGCTTTTTCCACAGACAAAAGGCTAAAAATAAAAATTCTTACAATAATTCCTTAATGCAACTGAAATGTGAAATAAAGAAAGAAACATGTCTAGTATAGGACTGGCTAAAATAAACACTGATAATCCCCTCATAAAATGAATACTGATAATCCCCCTGTGAAATAAATGCTGATTTTGTTATAAGCCAATTCAAATGAGAACTTCATGTATTTTTTTTTAAAGATTTATTTATTTTATGTACACGAGTGCTCTATCTGCATGTACACCTGCATGCCAGAAGAGGGCATCAGATCTCATTATAGATGGTTGTGAGGCAGCAAGCCGTTACTGGGAAATGAACTTAGAACAGTGTCCTTAACCACTGAGCCATCTCTCCAACCCCACATGTTTGCTTTAAAAAAGGTCCCCCACAGAAAGGTTTGCTAACTTAATGTGTATGTTTTGTCTGCATGTATGTCTGTGTACTATGTGCATGCATGTTCAGTGCCTGTGGAGGTCAAGAGGCACCAATCCCCTGGAACCAGAGTTACAAATGCCAAGAGGGTGCCAGCAACTGAGCTGGGTCCACCAGAAGAGCAGTCAGTGCTTTTAAGTGCCGAGTCATCTCTCCAGGTCCTGGATGTTGTTTTTAAAGCAATCAATAAAATGTTCCAAAGAGAATAGGGGAATAAGACAGACATCCTCCACAGAAAGAAAGAGAGGGAGAGGATAGGAGAGAGAGAAACACTTTGCTTTGCTGAGTAATGAGTAACTGTCTTAATCAAATAAATTAATGTTGGATTGAGAGGTGCTTAGTTGAGACAGACAGGGAAACTGGACTCAAGGATTCACTTCCAAACCTATAGCTAATTTTTTTTTAAATTTATTTATTACTTATACAACATTCTGCCTGCACACCAGATCTTACTATAGACGGTTCTGAGCCACCATGTGGTTGACTGGGAATTGAACTCTGGACCTTCGGAAGAACAGTGAGTGTTCTTAACCTCTGAGCCATCTCTCCAGCCCCCTATAGCTAATCTTTCAGACAATCCCTGGATCTGCAATATGAGTCAGACTAAAGTTTGGTCCACTTTGCATCTGAAAATTCTATGGTTCCAAAGAAAACATACTGATCATAGTTTTAACAATTTCTCATTATGTGAAAAACCCCTCAAAAACAGAAAAAGGGCAGATTCCATTCCCATTTATGTGCTGGATTTAATGAGATGTCAAGTGGACATAGCTCCATTTACAGTGAGAAGATCACAGGACTCCATAAAATAAGGACTGCTGAAGTCCTAACTGTGACTGAGTTTCTAAGGCAGTATCGTGGTATTCAGCCCAGGGTAGCCTTTCATGATCCTTTTGCCTCAGCCTCCTCAGTACTGAGGGATACAGGCATGTGCCACCAAAATAAGTGTAACTGTGTAACTCTGCTAAGTCACTAACTCTCTGAGCCCTGGTTTCTGCAGATTCTATGATGGGATTGTACCAGTTTATCCTTATTACCCTAAAGGATGCTGAGCTGTTCCAAAATAAATCATGCAAACCAATAAGTCAGGAAAGAAAAAAACAGCTCTGGAAAAGTCTGAAGTGGACATATATGGAGCCATTTTGTGATACTTGGTCCTTACTTGGTCTAACAACATGGAACAAGCAATCCCAAGGCTTTATTTTTACTGATGTGCTGAGGTTAAGGATGCCAGCCTTTCCCAGGCCACACTCCCACCCAATACCCAGACCTGTTACAGTGTTTAATCATCAACAATATAGGAACAATACATGCTTTCTGCCCATCTCAGAACCCTCACAGGTCTAAATATCCAAGCCAACCAGCCTGTTGTCCTCATTCCTTTGCCAATGTCTATTCATGAGCACAGTCATTAGGCAGTAAGACACTATGAAAGATGCCAACTCTGAGCTATTTGCTTACCTCATGGGGAGAATCGCAAGAAGTATGGCTTTTTCATGGACATGCCACCCAAACATGAAGGAACTCAAGGCACAAAGAACCAGGCATCGGAGAAAGCCTCTGGGCCCTTGGGGTTTAAACCAAAGACAGAAAACAGAGGGCTAGAAACAACAGGCAAAGACAGAACTTCAGTGTCATTAAAGTCAGCTCTACAGAAGCATGGCACAGGTAAACACAGTCTGGGTCATGTTTGAAAACAGCAGAACTAGGGGATTCTCCACTGCACTGGGATAACCCATCACCCTGGGGACAGTCCCGCAAAGCTGGCTTTACAAAAGAAAATGCAAGCCCATAGCAATATGTATTTACTTTATTAAAATGAACCTTACAACTTACTATCTGTATAATTAGCTAATATTCATTGAACTTACTAGGTCAAACTACAAAAATTCATAGATGTTTTGGGGATAATCCATTAGATTTTACCAGTTTTGTGGGCTGCAGTGTAATTCCCAATAACATAACCATTGTCCTCTATAACACAGCTTGCAAATCTGAGGCTTTAAGGCTTTTTTTTCCCATTAGTTTTTCAAGTCAGGGTTTCTCTGTGTAACCCTGGATGTCCTGGAACTCACTCTGTAGACCAGGCTGGCCTCAAACTCAGAGATTTGTCTGCCTCTGCTTCCCTGAATGGGATTAAAGGAATGAGCCACCACCAGCTTTAAAAAAAAAAAAGTTTTTTAATTTATTTTTCTCTCTGGTATTATATGGATTATATATTAAATGTGGGGGAAGGGCACAGGCACAGAGAGGCCAGAGGAAGGTGTTGGGTATGGTGCATTCTACCGCGGCACTATTCCTTTGAGACAAGGTCTCTCGTTGTACCTAGAGCTAGGCTGGTGGTCAGCAAGTCCTAGCTTTCCTCCTGCTCTCCACACTGCTGGGTTAAAGGCATGCCTGTATGTACAGCCTTGCCTGGCAGTTTTCAATTATGGAAACTGAGGCTCTGAATTCACTCACTGAATCACTGCCCTAGCCCCAAGGCTAGATTTTAGAATCTTTAAACCTCAGCTAAAACCTGTGAATAAACAGACCAGCAGGATTTAGTTGCCTGCACACCAGTACTGCCATACAATTAAGTGGGGCCAGGTGTTTTGCCAGGAGATTTTGATCACTTAGAAACCAAAATTAAAGCTAATGTGTAATTATTTGCAGGCTTGAGTTGTTTATGTTGAATCCTACTGAAACTGTCACAAAACTGAAGTCACCAAGCACAATATTTGACCCACAGTAGCTTTTACTTTTTTTTCTTTTTGAGACAAAGTCTTGCTATGTAGCTCAGATTGGCCCCCAAGGAGCCATCTTCCTGCCTCCACCTCCCCAGGAGCTAGAATTGCAGGCTGGTGCCACCATGCCTGGCTTCGCAGCTGACTCTCATGGAATGTGCAAAGAGCCACTGTTCCTTCCAATTCATTATCACCATCAAGACAAAATATCCTGTTTTCCAGACACATTTTGATCATTTAGCCAAGAATGAGAAACACAAAACAAAGCCTGGATATTCCGCTACAGAGATTTCCTTTCTCCACACCAAACGCCATGCTTCCTACTTGGGCTTTTCTTTCTCCTCATGCCAGGATGGACAGATGGCTTAAACAGCCACTGGCAAGACTCTCTTACAGAGGCTTTTCTGGTAATCCTTCCTGTGTTCAAAGTTACTCTGAGAATTGCTAGGAAATACTCTAGTCTGCAGGATTTCAGCCATGGGATTTCTGCTGCAGTTGGAAAAGCTTGAAAGCTGAAATTCAGTCAGCACTGTGATAGGAAAGGCAGAGGCAGACTCAACAAATGATAACCACACGCCAAGTTCTTACCAATATGGCCAACACTGTGCAGATGAGGGTTGCCAAAGGGGAAACTGAGGGAAGGACTGTGTGCTGGAACTGCTGAACCAAACCACTTGTCATTGAGGCCCTGGGGATCTGGCTGGGATCAAGAAGTTTCAGCTCCAAACCTAGACGGGAAGCAGACAGTTTACTTTAATCAATAGTACTCCAGATCTTATGAGTCAGCTCCTTGAGACTAATTTGAAAAGGCTACTAAATCTTACTGCTGCTCACAGCTGAGTTTCATGAGTTTAAACCTGCACTGTGCTGCCTCCCGAAGATGCTTCCTTCTGGTTTCAGATGATAATCTATAGCTACAGACTAAAACTGGAAGAGCTATTTGTGCAGCGTTCAGGAACCTTGCGGTCAGGCAGCACGTGAGCAGTGATCTTCTCTACCACTTAAAAGCTGCAAGCTATTTAAAGTGCAGACCATGTCACACCAAAGCTTCGCACCTTTCATCTCCTGCAGCGCTCAGTTCGTGTTCCACATAGAGCAGCTTCATTCATCTGTCACCTCTCTACTGCCTCATCTGTGCTTATTCTCGGTGCACTGAGTCCAGTATAGCACTGTTGACAGCTATGTCCCTCTGTTCACTCGGCTCCCTTTGAACGATTCACCCACTCTAACTAAATTAGGCATGCAAAGAGAACTAAATTGAGGGGTAAAGCTGCTTTGAGCATTCTCTGGTGGTGTTTCGGTGCTTACTTTCACTACCATCCTACGACCCTTAAATGCAGAAATGATGAGTTCATTCCATCCCCAAACACAGAAGTTCAATAATTACTTGTCAGATGAACTAAGTCTGGAACAATGATGCAAGCCCTACCCAAAACAAACTGCAGAGTTAGGAGAGGGCAGTCAAGACAGCCTGAGCACGCATACAGCCCTGTCTTTCGCCACTGAGAGCCAGCAATGTGGGGAACACAGAGCCTACTAATATATTTTCTATACACTCCTCTCCCCTTCAGTTTTTGGTTCTTTTTTGTTTTGTTTTGAGATGCAGTCTCATGTGGCTCAAGCTAGCTTTTAACTCCTGATCCTCTTCCCTGCACCCACCAAGTGTTGTAATTACAGGTGTGTAAGCCCCACACTCAGCTCCCTCCCTTCTCGAGACAGGATCTCATGTAGTTAGTCCAGCCAAGAATGACTGAATCTCTCATCGTCCTGCCTCCCACCTTCCGAGAGCTGGGTCGGCAGGTGTGCCCAACCATACCTGGTTATGCAGTGCTGGCAGTGAAACTAGGATTTGCTTTCCACCAGCTCAGTCAGTCCCCAGCCCCTGATTCTATCTTAAAACTAAGGGCTGTTCCCCTGAGTTTCTTAAGCTGCAGCTGACTTTCCATGTGAGGCATCTTTGGAGAGCAGGTTCACAGGTTCCTGCTCAGGCAGGGCAATCAGGCCTTGTACTGTATACAGGACTAAGTGGTAACAGCTTTTCAAAATATAAACATTTGAGGTTAATTTGTAAGAATGCCATTACACTGATGCTGGACTGATGAGTGAGGGATGAACCAAATTATAATTCCTAAAAATAAATAAGTAAATAAAATATCAATTTCCCATAAGTACATAACAAAAATAGTAAAAGCCACTTTGCAGCCAGCATCTGCTACCATGTCGTCGGACTTTGTGTCCTTACTTCAGACCTGAGCACACAGACGGGAGTAACCAACTGGAGTGCAACCTAATCTGGGTCTGGGTGGCCCCAAAGTCTCTACTACTGATAACACCATGTGTGTGCCTGGTCCCGAAAAGGTCAGAAGGGAGCGTCAAATCTCTCGGAACTGGAGTTACAGGTAGCTGTGAGCAGCCATGTGGGAGCTGGGAAACAAACCCAGCTCTTCCGTAAGGGCAGTAAGTGCTCTTCACTGCGGAGAGTTGTGTGCACACGTGGAGGTCAGAGGACAAGCTGACAGAGTCAGTGTCCTCCTTCTACTACATGGGTTCTGGAATCAAACTCAGGTTGTCAGTCCTGGCAGCAGGCACCTTTGCCTGCTGAGCCATCTTGATGGCCCAACCTAACATACCTTTATTCTTGCTTTCACTCCTGACAACATGCTTTGCAGGAGAGTAAAGTTCAAGAATCCCCAAAGAATTGCGGCAAAAGTAACACTAGGGTAATCAAGTGAGCTGGCAATGGTGCAGAGTCAACAATTTATGCAGAAGTTGATATCAGGAGTCAGTCAACAAACAATAGCCCAAAGCCCAAATGTAGCCTCTGACCTGCTTTTGCACAGCACTGAAGCTATTAGTAGCTTTTATCTTTTTTTTTTTTTTTTTTTTTGGAAGACAGGGTCATTTTTCTTATTGGTCCAATGCTCAGAGTCACAGTTCATACATTTTTTTCCCTTTTTCAAACATTTAAGTTTAAAAGTAGGGTTAACTTTGCTAAATAATGTTTTACTTAAGGCAAAAACTGTCTTTGAGAAGTATCTGGATGGGGGCAGGGCTAGAGAGATGGCTTGGAGGTTTAAGAGTTCATCGAGAGAACCTGAGTTTGGTTTTGAGTACCCATGTCGGGTGACTCACATCCACCTAAACCTCCAAGTCCAAGGGGATCCGCACTTCTAGCCTCCGTGGGTACCAGCTCTCAAGTACACACACCTTGTCCACATTAAAAACACCTTTCAAAAAGTGTCTAAATATTCCATCTACTGACCCACAGAAAGCATCTACAACCTCAATGCCACAAGGAATTTGCAAGGAATGCAGTCCACTTACTGACAAAAGACTCAGCCGCAAGCTAGTTAGCTCCGCTCTCCCTGAGCTGACGTGCATGTCAGCTCAGGGCTGGGGCCCAAGCAATCCAGAACACACATCCGAAACACAAAACAGCGGTAGATGTTTCCACTTCCTGATGGACATAGTCCTTTCAGAGCTCATAGTCTAAGTGAAAAAGCTGGATACCATACCAATGACAGACAGCACTTTATCCAAAGCATTGTACAAAGCCCAGAAGTTTGGAGCCCAGTAGGCATGGCAAAGGCCTCTCTTGAAAGGAAAGAGTCGGGAAAAGACTTGTGGAAGCTGGTTCTGTTGAACAGAGAAATGAAACGATTAAACAGTCATTAATTTTTTTCCAAATTCTAAAACAGAACAGGGAAACTGCCTGTGGCATAGTGCGTTGAAAGTTCAGCAGCCTGGGCTCCCATCTTGATTTCTGCAAGTGAGTGATCCCAGGCAAGCCACAGACCTCTTTTGCCCTACATTTTCAACTGGCCAGTGAGAAGACACATAAAAGTCAGTGAATACCCATTCATGCTCCTAGGAAGTCCAGCAGAATTTACACAGGGCAGAGACTACACTGTAGTCCATCTAGGCCCACTGAAGTGTTGGGGAGCAGGGAAGACCACAGAAGACGTGGTGTTCCTCCATCCTCCATCTTAATAGCAAGTAAAACTGCCTTTGGGGTGTAAAGAGAGAAAAGAAAATATTTGAACATCTGTCCCAGGCATTTTACAGTGTTTGCTGTGTATAACGGACTCCCAAGGCCTAATCTTGGAGACCAGAAACCTTAATGAGTAGGTGCATTTAAGCAGAATCCACAATGAGAACTAGCTCTCACGTGCAAGGACACACAACCTTATCTTTGGTAGGAAAGAAAGGAGTTTTAACAGTTGCTTTGTGCATTCCCTACTTTATTGTTCTTTTTAAACAACAACAAAAGCATGGCTTACATTATTTTTTAAAAAGTAAAAAGCAGAAATAAAACAAATGTCTTACCAAGGCTAAAAAAGGGCCCAAAGAAAGAGCAGAAATTAGGAGAACAATCAGTCCCAGGGAAATAACACGGATGAAGCTGAAGCTGCTCCATCGGACAGTGCCATCTATAGACAAGAAAAGCCAGCATTACCAGGAGCGTGAAGACGTACCCTCCAACAGCCCAAATGCCCTGGGAGCTACCATCCTCCCACTTCCTCCTGAGCCACCATGACCAGTACACACTGATCTTTGTGGATGATGAAGGGCGTGTAGATCAGGACCTGAGAGATGCCTGCTGTGCTCTGTAACACTGTAGGTGCAGGGAAGAAAACAAGTATTCTGCTATGGCTGCTAAGACTTGCCTGGCTTACTTGCGGTGAAACAGTAAGATCGCAGCAGATAGACACCATAGGCTGGTGCTACATACAGGTAGATGTGCTTGAAATGGAGGAGGACAGCGAAGAGAAACGCCGCTTCCATATGCCTTTTCTAGGACACAGAAAGGGGGTTACATCACTTTAAGTTCAAGGTACATGAATGCAATACAGAGTATCCTGGATTGGGTCCTGGAACACAAGGAAGTATTAGTAGAAAATCTGAAGAAGTCTGAATAAACCAATGCTGGTCTCTTAGGTTTGGTGAATGGTTGTTGAAGAGGGTAGCATTGAGGGGAAATGTCTGACTGTTGGGTACTCAAGGACTCAAAACTATTAGTGTAACTTTTCTGTACAGCCGAAATCATTATCAGAAAAAAAAAAAAAGACCAAACCAAACCCGTCTATTTTAAAAGTGAATCCTTGTATCAAAACAAAACAAAACAACTACTACAATACCCCAGGGTCTTGCAATATTGTTCAGGTTGGTCTCAAATTCCTGAATTCAAACAGTGCTGCCACAGGGCCTTCTAAGAGCTAAGACTACCATGTTTTGTTCTACCCCACCCAGGTAAAGTTACAACTATTAAAAATGTAAAGTTCTGTTGTTAGTGTCTTCCTTGGGTGTCTGTGCACAGGTATGCAATGCCTGCCGGAGCTAGAGGAGGGCTTCAGGTCCTCAGGGGCTGAAGTTGCAGATGGCTGTAGCTGCCATGTGGGCACTGCGGGCTGAAAACAGGTCCTCTGACAGGGCAGCCAGTGTTCTTAACTGCTGAGGCCTCTCTCTAGGCCAATCACTATGCCTTAGTGGATATTTTGTAAAAATAAAAAGAAATGTGGCATCTGGTATCTACAACCTCATCGCCACAAGGAGCTTCTCTAAGGGAGGTAGTTCGTCCCCTGTAACTGTGCACACCTGGTGCGCATAGACTCATAGGCATAACATACATGCACACACACAAAATAATAGTTAAATCATTATTCATCAGGTACACAGTAAGCATCACACCTGATGCTAAGATACAGGGATGTCATCAGTAACCACAAACTATATTCTAAGGAGCCAAAGACAGTATAGGTAACCTGGCCAAAGAGGAGCTAGGATCAGAGGATGAATGAACATAATCTATAATGTGAGAAAAACAATTGTTTTGTGTGTATAGGTTGATAGGTTGTACTGGGACAACATACTACTACTGAGCTACATACTCAGTCTATTCAAAACCAAAACTCCAGTTGGAGCACTTGCCTAGTGTGTCTACGACCCTGAGTTCTATCTTCATCATGGTCTCACTGTCGCCCAGACTGGCCCTGAATTCTTAGGTCTAAAGGATCCACCTACCTCAGTGTTTCAAACAGCTTGGATTATAGGGTACACTACCATGTCTGGATAAGGAGACTAAATATGGTACTTATCCACAAAAGTAAAGGTATATAAAACCTCAGACAAACCCAACAAAAGAAGTCTGAGTTCTACCTACCTCATAGGAATTGGAGAAGAACCAAATACAGCTTTGGTAAGCCCCGTGTGAGCCATATAGTTTACTAACATTAATATGGAAACCTGGGTCTTTTGATTTCAAATTCCATATTGCCATCACACTATTCTAACTAACCTAGAAGCTTCTCATTGAAAAACACCATTATCATTTATACAGCAAACGCTGTTGGAGATTCCACCTGACAGAAAGAGCAGCCAGGGCTGGAGAGATGGCTCAGGGGTTAAGAGCACTGGCTGTTCTTCCAGAGGTCATGAGTTCAATTCCCAGCAACCACATGGTGGCTCACAACCATCTATAATGAGATCTGGTGCCCTCTTCTGGCATGCAGGCAGAACACTGTATTTGTAATTAATAAAAATAATAAAAAAAAAGCCTTAAAAAAAAAGAAAAAAGAGCAGCCAAACACAGAACTCTAATCCACACCTGCCACACTGCAGTTGTTAGTACATTATTTTCTCATCTGTAACATAAAGAAAAATTATCATCTAAAGAGCAGGTAGAATTTGTGGAAGTAGCAATAAAAGTGTGTATATGGTGAAATTCGGAACAGTGGGTAAATAATTTATCTGTTGTCCACTACAATGTTATTTTTAAAAGCTAAAAACTAAAGAGGGAAATCTAATTAGGTTCTTCTGCATTTACCTGAAATAACCGTGCAATGGACAGCAGCATTAATCCAGATAAAAAGCCATTGTACTGGAAATGAATATCTGAATGGATGTCAAGGAAGATGGCACTAGATTCACAAGTGGGGTATATATAGAGAACTTGTGGATGCTTTCTTAATGAGTGAACTAAACATAATAGTTTAACTGGTTTTCAAACTTCAGTACTCAGGGACAAAGTATTTTAATAACTAGAATCCAGTAACCTTGGAGAGAACAGAGTTTGAGTTTGGGGAGTTATGTAATCCAGATCAAGCCCCCTTTCGAAAGAAGCTCTTATTTCATGATCATCACTACACAAAGAATTAACCTGTTAGTTCACAACAGAGTACCAGAACAGGATATAGAATGCTAAGGATACGGTCTACAATTAATAACCCAAAGTTCCAGAGCAGCAGCACGGACAGAATAAACTTGGGTTTCTCTGTGAGGTCTTTGCTTGTTCTTTTCCCATCAATGCATTTACAGCACCTACATGGGCACACCAAGAGAGAGACAAATAACTTTTCATTTTGTCACAACATTACAACACTTCTGCACAGAGCCATTTCTGACAAACTGTCCATGGTGTCCATGGTTGACCTCAGGGTCAATTCCACATCTTTTCCTCTGGTATGCAGATCGGAAACAGTGCTCATTTAATAAAACTAAAGCCAACAAGCAGCAATCTCAGACCTCCAAGCAAGGATTAAAAAAAAAAAAGAAAAGGCACACATTAGTTCAGTCCTTAAGAGTGAAAAGTGTGGGCCCAGGGTGTAGCTCAGTTGGTACAGTGCTGGCCTACCCCACAGGGGGTCCTGCACCAACTGAGCACAGTATACATGCCTGTATTCCAACTCTGACAAGTAGAAGAAGGAGATCAGCAATTCAAAGTCATCATCAACAACACAGCAGGTTTCAAGCCAACCTGAGCTACATAAAGACCTTGTCTTAAAAAAGGAAAGAAGAAAAATGAAGGAGTGAAAAATACAAGGCAGAATGGTACAGGCTAAGTGTGAGCAAGACTCTGACTAGTTCAGTCCCTAATGTGTATGCATGACCCATCCACACACACTCAAGAGTTAGCCATGCCAACTCCAGACTAGCCTTGGGCTACACAGTGAGACCCTGTCTCAATTCCTCACTGTGATGATGATGACAATGTTTAATAAGGGGCTTGGGAGATGGCTCCATCAGTGACATATTTGCTGTATAAGCACGAGGACTTGGTTCACTCCTTAGAACCAACATTTATAAAGCAGATGTCCGAGCGTAGTACATGTAGTCCTAGAGTCAGGAGGCAGAGCCAGGTGGGTCTCTGGGGACTGTCATCCATTTTGTTTTTTGAGATGGGGTTAGGATGGTCACAGCATCAAGGATCTGCTTGCATCCACCTTCTCAGAAATGGGATCACACATGTATACCACATGCCTGCCTTTTTCACATGGCACTTGCTCATTTGTGTATCTGTGTACCATGTGCATGCCTGGCTCCTGCAGGTCAGAAGAGGGCATTGGACCCCTTGGATTTGAAGTTATAGACAGTTGTGAGCTGCCAAGAGGGTGCTGGGAATCAAACCTTTGTCCTCTGCAAGAACAGCAAATGTTCTAAACTGCTGAATCACCTCTCCAGCACGCCATACGATAATCTGAGTTTATTGGAATGAAACTCCCTAACTTTTGTGACACACAATGGATATATGTGCATGGATATATATGTGTATGTATTATGTGTACGCATGTCCCATAAAATAGGGCAGGTCACAAAAGCCTCTGGGCGTGGCCAAAAAGAAAGGAAGGCGTGTGGGGTTACTCTGAGTGAGAGAATTGGTCCTGGAATTCTATCTGGATTAGTTTTTTTAAATCATCTTCTCATCCCACCACCTCAGAACCCTAACTTATTCCCACTTCTCCACAAAACCTCGCACAACTGTTCCTTGTAATTACTCTCAGGCAAGTTAAAGCTCAACTTGGGTTTTTGCTGTCAGGATCTGCTATTACATGCACAGGATTGTGTCCCCTGTAAATCAGCAGTATACATTTTCTCAACACCTTCCACACTCTCAACTGTCCACACAGCATGACCTTTGCCACTTACTCGTGAACAGCATACACAAAGAGTGCATCTGTCAGGATGACAGAGAACCTCTGGAAAAGCAACGTTCTTGAGCTGCAGTAGTTCAGGTTCTGAATATTAAGCATCTCTTGATCAAAGTATTTGGCAATATGTGATAAGGCGTACTCAAACCATGCAAAAAAAGGGGGGTAATCCAAGGTCCACGGTGAAGTTGCCTGTGATTTAAAAAAAAAAAAAAAAAATCAAAATTAAAACATACCCTAAGTAGCTAAACAAGGTGTAAATATTTAAAATTGTTCACTAGTCTTTCAAACAGCATCATGAAGTGGAGTTGCACTGAAAATGCCCTAACTACACAGAGCAATTCCTACATGAGGAGAACTGAGACACATGGACAGGATGTGCATGCCTACACACCCAGCCCTGAAGAGGCTGAGGCAAGAGGATTTTGAGTCTCAGGCCAGCCTGAGATTCCTTGGCCACGTATCAAGGATATACACTAATCATAATCTTCTGTCTCTGCACTTAAAAAAATTAAGAATTTAAATTATGTTTTTAATGTGAGGGTCTCTTTCCTGCACGACTATAGGTGCACCATGGTCTGCCTGGTGCCCCTGCAGGTCTGAGAGGGTGTCGGGCTCCCCTGGGACTGGAGTTACAGATGGTTGTGAACCACCATGTAGGGGCTAGGAATCGAACCCTGTTCCTCTGTAAGAACAAGTGCTCTTAACCAGAGCCAATTCTCAAGTCCCTTGTTACTCTTTTCACTGAAAATTTCTTTTGTTTTTTTGGGACAGGGTTTCTCTATGGAACTTTGGCTGTCCTTGACTTGCTTTGTAGACCAGGCTGGCCTCGAATCCACAGTGATCCACCTGCCTCTGCTTCCCTGAGTGCTGGGATTACAGGCGTGCAACACCATGGTCGGCGGAAAATTTCTTTCTCTACAAGTCTAGTACAGGCTCACTGGATACTGGTTCTTCACATGGATTATGGTTCAAGGTCTCTCTGTGATTAAAAAATAAATAACACTTAGCCTCATTCCCAGTCTCGGTCCCTGCTTATAAGAATTAATGATACAGTTGAGATGTGAAGTGAATAAGTAATTAAATAAATAATAATAATAAAAAAGAACCAATGACAGACATCTGCTAGGTCTGCAGAAATCCTGATCTGTTCACACCCCTGCAGGTATAAAATCCAGGAGGTTTAGATGGCCCCAGGTAAACCCAGAGGCCTTGGTCACTAACTTCTACACTTACACTTAGAAAGAGCCCTCTCTAATTCCAAGTCTCCAATGTAGAATATAAGCGAAATGACCGACTGAACTTGGGAAAGAAAACTACAAATTCTATTTTTCAATCTCATTCTTTACAATTACTATTTTAACAGTATATTAACAGTAGTGGCTTTGTAACTTACACAGACGAGTTCATGAGAACATACTCAGAAATGACTTCTTGCTAGGATATGGACAATACAAAAGTTTAGAAAATCCACATAATTCTAAAAACTCAATTTAGACTTAATTCGTATCTTCTCATTAGAATTTTAAAATGTCAGAGCTCAATCTCTCTTGAAAAAAAGATGCCTTTTTTTTTCTTTGCAAGTTGAAGACTTTCTTCTGACTTTAGTTTATTGACACATTTACATACTTTAAAAATAGTGAGTTGGAAATCACTAAATCGTCAAAGACGTGGGCTGCTGGTAAGAGACGGCCATTTTTCCAGAACAGAGAGTCCTTGAGCTTCCGCTGCCATCCCCATTCCACACTCCCCTTAGCTTCTCTGTACACCATCCCTGTTCCACACAAACCACCACACTGGGCACGTGTGCACCCCAAGGGGTCCTATTTGGGGCCATCTTTTTACCTAGATAGCTTTTTAAGCTAGTATTTCCTTCCAGTCACTCCACTAAGAGTGCTGGGGATGAGAAATCTGGGCCAAACCCTGGTTTTCAAACACTAAAACAGCCAACGTGTCCATACAAAGATACAAACAATTTTTTCACTCAATAGATAAACGGTCCCTTCAGTGCCTTTCCCAACTAGTTGGCCACTTCAAGGTCAGTGAGGAAAGGTGAAGTCACAACTAAGGAGGACTCTACTGACAACCCACTTCTACCTGTCTACTCTCCTGGGATGGCATGAAGAGACTACCCGGTCAACTCTACCCTGTCCAGCATATGTCCTGCTGAGCCTCCTAGCCACAGCACTGCACGCTGGTTTTGCTAATTTCCCTTCCCTGTTAGAAAGAACAGGGAGGCACCGGCATGTGTTCTTTGTAAAGTAAGCAGACACAGGAGAGTCCTGGCACAGGGAGAATGGTCCTGAGGTGATGGGGAGTGTGAAGGCTTTAGAAGTGAAAGAACACCTAGAGAGAGCAGAATTAAAAGGGATAGATAAGGACCATAGACAGAGCCTGAGAGGACCAGTTGGAAATAGTGATTTCCAACTCACTGTTTTTAAAGTATGTAAATGTGTCAGTAAACTAAAGTCAGAAGAAAGGGGTGTGAAAATAAAGTTACGAAGGAGACTCCGAAGAAGTCAAGAGAAAAACGAGGAAATGGCAAAGCAGAGGACAGCTTTTTCATATATAGATAATGCTAATGATGAACATGTACCAAGTGCTTCCTACTTGTTTTGCCTTAATTCGCATCATTTCACGATTGCAGACATCGTGCAAATATCACTCAGCATGGTCCCGAAATAGCAGAGCTGTCAAACCTGGACATTCTGAAACCACCGCTGAAGCTCTGGACTAGCCTACATAGCACTTTTCTTGGTTGGTGTCCACACGTGCAAACCGTGACCCCTCAGGCTAAACAGTCACTCAAAGCTCCCCAGCACGTCTATGAAATATTGATAGTACTATTATGTAAAAGTAAATCCCGTCCCCTAGAACAACTGTGGTTAGGTTTCCCTACACTGCCTGGGAAATAAAGCCAGATGAGGATGCAGCTCAGCTAATAGTGTGCTTGTCCAGCATGCACAAAGTCTTGGGGTCCCCAGCACTGTAAGATATTGGCTCATCCTCAGCCACATAATGAATTAAAGGCCAGCGTGGGCTACATGACACCATCTTCAAAGAGGCTAGAGAGATGGCCAGTGGTTAAGAGTGCATACTGTTTTCACAGAGGACCTGAGTTCAGTGCCCAACACTCATGTTGAGCGGCTCACAACTGCCCATAACTTCAGCTGCTGAAGATCTGATGCCCTCTCTGGTCTCTGTGGGCCCTTACTCAAATGCATGATTAAAAATTAAAATCTTAAAAACAATCCTGCAACACCCAGAATACCACTGTTTTAGTTGTCTCCTTGTGGGTACGCCTAGCCGTGCAATGCATATGGAGGCCAGAGGTTGACATCACATCCATCCTTAGCCGCTTCTCCACCTTAGGTTTTGAGACTAGACCTGAGGCTCACCGATTTGCTTAGACTGGCTAGCCAGAGAACTTTAGATTTGCCTGTCTCTGTCTCCTCAGCACTGGTATTACAGATGCATGCCACACAGCCAGCTTCATAAGTGGGTGCTGGCCACCTAAACTCTGGCCCTCATGATTATGAAGTAAGCACTTTACCCAACTGTTCTCTCATCTCAACATGTGTGTTGTGGCATATATACATACGTGCGCACACATTTGTGCATGCACAAAAACAATAAAAGGATTTTTTGAAAGATTTATTTTTAGCTATGTGCATATTTGTGGAGGGTGTGTATACACATGATTGCAAGTAACTGCAGAGGCCTGGTGCTTCGATCCTCTCTGGAGCTGGAGTTACAAACAGTATTTCTCCACCCGACGTGGGTGCTAGGAATTGAGCTTGGGTCCTCTGGTAGATTATGTATATATGCCACAGCACACATGTTGAGGTGAGAGAACAGTTTTCTAGTTTAAAAAAAATAATAGTGTGTGTCCATACCGTGTCATGCACGTGGAAGTTGGAGGACAAACTGCAGAGTGGCTCTCCTTCCACCACATGCAGGTTGTCAGACCTGGCTCCAGGGCCCCCTTCCTGGCCTGGAGTGGCCCACTTGTGTCAGTTAACAGATCCACTGAGGACTTCATTCACAACAGGCAAGTGCTCAGAACCGGGTCACACTCCCAGTCCTGAAAATCTGATTTAACAGCAACAATCTAAAGGTGACGCTACACAGCATTTCTTTTGCTGTTGTTTCGTTTCTGAGATAGTATCTGGCTATGTAGTCCAGGCCAGCCTTGACCCTTTTCACCCCACCTCAACAGCTACTGCTAGGTTACAGGTACATGTCACTACTCCGGCTTACATATAATCTTTAAAAGGTAAAACTGAAACTTACCTCATAATACCACTGAGATACTGGCAAACTGTGAGTGATAGCAAGCCAATTTCGGTGTACTTCAAAATCTGTGGAATGGCTACACAAGCCAATCAAAGGAACAAATGAGATTTTGAAACAGCTGTACCTCATATCCTATAAAATGACATGGCATGCACACATGTACAAGGCCTTCAAACATCTCACTTATTAGGGGTCAGAAAGTTAGGGCCCCTCTGTAGTTGCTGGAGGATCCAGGAGTTTGTGATGGGGTCTCAGAGATATCCAAGGGCTGAGAAGGTCTCAAACAGGTTCTCAGACCACTGCACAAGTGACATTATCTTTCTCAAACAATTCTAACAAAATCCATAATCTAGAAAATGCCTTACAAAAGTGCTTTAAGTTTTTAAAATTACATTTATATGATTGTGTGTGTTGATCATGTGTGAAAGCCAGAGGACAATGTATGGGAGCTGGTTTTCTCCTTCCACTCTGTATGTCCTGGGGATGAAACCGAGGTTGCCAGTAGGGCTCTCTACCTACTGAGCATCTCATGAGTGCAAGGACTTGTTGTTTTCAGACAGGTGTCATTACGCAGCTCTGGCTGGTCTCGAACTGGCTCCATAAACCAGGCTGGTCTTGAATTTGCGTCAACCTTCTTGACCCTGCTTTCAGAGTGCTGAGATTACAGATATGAACCACCACATCCAGCATCAAAAGGTTTTCTTTCATTAAGATCATGCTCTAACATGGGTTACACTCCCTGCCTTGGAAGTTCTCCTGAATTAACATCAGTAATGTAGAGTAGCTTTGTGCAACAATCCCCAAGTGCCTAGCTAGCCAAGGTCTAGACACACAATCCGGAATGGCCTTATTTCTTTTCTATTTTTACATTTATTTATTTGCGCAGAGTGGCCTGTGCATGCAAGTGCGTCTGTGTGCTCACGCGTGCACACAGGTCAAGACAGCTTGAGAGTTCGTTCTCTTCTCACAGTGTAGTTTCTGGGGATCAAACTCAGGTTGTCAGTCTTGTCCCCAAGTGCCTGTACCCTGGCCTTCTTGAGTTTTTGACCTCCACATCTCAAGTGCTGGAGTTAATTAAATATGCACCTTGCGTAACGGCTAAAGGTTCCTACGTTTGCTAAACAAGTTATCACTCTACCACCTGCTTTCAAGGACTGTGGAATGCTGTTCACATAATTATTGATACCCTTTATCATACTTATAATTTATGTAATTTTTGTGAAAGGCATTTGCTATGTAGCCCAGACTGGCCTCCAATTCATGACAGTCCTACTGGGCCTCCTGGGGTATTATTATTCCTGGTGGCATTACAGACACAGGCTGCCATTCCTGGTAACATCATTTTAGTCAGATTTGGAGAAGAGATTATCTTTGGTAACCAAAACCTTTAATCAAGCCGTAAGTTTGCCCATCTCTATTGTGAGCAATTAAAAAAAAAAAAAAAAACCTTTCACAGTGCTTTGTGCTAGTATAGTGCTTAGAATAAAGTAGGGGGGCTGGAGAGGTGATGAGGGAGTTAAGAGCACTGACTGCTCTTCCAGAGAACTTGGGTTCAATTCCCAGCACCTGTATGGTGGCAGAGGCAGAATGAGCTCCAGATTGAGGCCAGCCTGGGCTACATGTTAAGCCCTTGTCTCAAAACTAGCAGCAACCACAAGTCAAAAGGCTGAGCTTGGTGAGACACATCTATAATCATAGCACTCAAGAAGAAGAAGGAGGACTGCTGCATGCTTGAGGCCAGCCTAGGGTGCAGTGTGAGACCTTGTCCCCCCCCCCCAAAGTTTTTTCATATAGGTATTTCTTCCTCATCCAATGTTGATATACAAATGAATGGCTATAAATGTTCAGAACCATGTTATGTAAATTTAAACCAAAAGGGAGAGAAGGTTAGTTTGGCAGTATCAGCAGTTCATTTTTCTAATTAAGGAATATGAAGAATAAAAGTAATTATAATTTGTTGAAAGAGTACTTGAAAAAAAAAGCCAAAACTAAGACTAGAAACATGGTGTCAAACAGCAACCACAGTGATGTATTAGGTAAGGGCACTTTCCGAAACCTTAAGCAAGTTGTCACTGTGCACACACTACAGAGCACAGTTCTACAAACTGATACAACTCCGACATCCCCAGGGAATAAATTTGGGCTGGAAAGGTGGCTAAGAGGACTGTTGCTCTTACGGTGGACCAAGTTCAGTTCCGACACCCACACTGAGCTGCTCACAACATCCTCTTAACTCCAGCTCCAAAGGATCCAACACCTTCTTCTGGCCTCCAAGGGTGACCCCCTTCCCCTGACACACACGAAATGGTTTTTTGGTTTTTTTTTTTTTTCTTTTTTTAAGGAGAACGCACAATCTTACAGGACAATCACTGTATATATATATATATATATATATATATATATATATATATATATATATATATATATATATGCATGTATATATAGTCTATTAGTGACAGAAACACTGTCATTAAACGATAAATTACTGTATTTAGTATCCAGCGTGATGGACAGACTAACCAGTGGCTGGAGTGAATACAGAGTGCAGCTATGAAGGTATTCTAGGACAAGATTAATCCTGGACCAAGGCAAGTATTCAAAGTACCTGAGGATATATTTTTAGGTTGAAAGAACTAAGGCATAAAAATACTGTGTAAGAGGAGTTGGGGGGGGGTTGTCTCTTCAGATAGGAAAGATGTTTTTGCTTTTAGCTATTCTTTCTGCTAACCAACCGCTTCTTTTCCCAAGTTACTTTGCTTAACTCATACAACGCAGTCTTTATATTCACACATACATTATAATGGACACGCATTCTGCACAAATGGCTCTCTCACACTAAACAAGAGATCATGACCTTGGATTAAAGGATACAAATAAGCCCTAAACTAAATAGTGTGAAGATCCAGGGGAGGCCGAGTGTGTGTCTGTGAGCACACACTCAAGGCCTGGACAGCAAGGATGGGTGAAGTGATGGCAAAACTTATTAGATGTGGATACTGAATACCCACTGTCCACACGCAGCTAAGCGCTGCATATACTTTCCACAGCCCGTGTGGCCACCTTTCTTCCTTTTCACCTCTTCAGGCACAATGACAACTTTCTGTACCTAGGATTCTGGGTTCTTCCTAATTCCAGGGCTTTTGCACTTTCTCTTTCCTAAGCCTGAAGTGTTTTTCACCTTGGTTATTCTTTTTCATACTGAGAATTTGTACTCAAACATCACCTCCTACAAGGGTAAAGGCCCTGCCAGTCCGTTACTGTCTCCTTTAAAAACCTTCTAAGAGTCTGAAAGTTTGGCGCTCGCAATTCCCCGGAAGACGAGGTTCTGAAACGCTTCGTTGGCCACTGAATCTTCGGGATTTAGGACGCCGCCCGGTCTTGTAAGCAGCAGGTCCTACACTGGCTGAAAGGCTGGTGGAGGGGGGTGTCATTAACTCGCAGACGGAGGATGAGGGCCCTGAAACTCATCAACTCGGAACTGACTTGCCCGACCTCAGACGGCGTTAAATCCCATCCTCGGCAGACATGGCTATATGCTAGCTCTCGGGTGAAGTACCAAGCCCCTCGGCAGAAATCTTAGCAAAGGCGGAGAGAACACATGGCATTTCTTCCTCGTACCCCAAACATCCATCCAAGTCTCGCCCACCCTGCCGACCGCGGGGTCTCCCCGCTCAGCCCCTGGCTCTGCAGGTCCTTACTAGGTGGGGATGAGAAGGCACTTGAGGAGTGTCACCCCGAGAGCCAAAGCCGAAAACCAATGGTCACTACCAGCCGCAAGCCTGAACGCCGCCATTCCTGGAGTCCCGTCACTTCCGGGACGCTGCGCATGCGGATAAGGCCTCAGAGGCACCGCCCGTGAGCTCTGCGCATGCGCCGGCTGCGCGGGGCGCCGGCTGGAAACAGCGCCAGGGTTTAAACCTGTCGCCCCGTCCCTGTCGTCTCTCAAGCTGGGAGGAGTTAGCCGCGCCCGTGCAGAACCTCCGTGGTGACATTTTTAAAATCCATTCGTTCATTTTGGTTGTTGTTCGTATGTGTTTCCATTCAAATAGTGGTTGGTCGTCTGCCTCGGGTCTTCATTCTTGATTGGTCTGGGAAACCCACGTGAGAAAACCAGACCTGTTCAAAGTGGTTGCGAAGGAAACAGTTAGTCGTTCGTCACACAGATGAAAGTCTTTGGAATGGGAACACCGAGGGCCCGTCGGAACTGGAAGTTAAACTCAGAATGGTTTGAGCAGAGATACAGAGCTGAAGGCTTTTCGATTCTAGTGTCGTTGAGCTAATGCTCTCCCTGAAGCACCTGCCCCTTGCGGAGGCAGGAGTCTCACACTTCTAAGATTTTTTGTTTGAGTGGTAGTTCATTCACAGTGTAGCACTGCCTGGACTTGACTCTCCGTATAGACCAGGCTAGCCTCGAACTCACAGAAATCTTCGTGCCTCTCCCACTGGGGTGTTAGGACCAAAGGACCAAAGCATGCATCACCACGTCTTCATTTAATTGCAAATTATCTAGGCAGTTTATTAAAATTGACATTGTGGGCTAAGTCTGAGTACCAGTGCTGCTGGTTCACAAGGGCTGAGGCACATGCAGTGTAATTGTTCTTGTCCCTTTTGTACTACAGGGTCTTGGTCAAATTAAACCTTGACTTTCTATCTCCCTCCCTTCCTCCATCCTTTCCTTCCTAACTTCCTAACTTCCTTCCTTCCTCCTTCATAAAAATAAAAATGTTTTATCTTGAGTCAACTGGGTATGTTGGCGGCACACCTGTAATCCCAGTGCTTAGGTAGGCAGAGGCAGGTGGATCTCTCTGAGTTCGAGCCTAGCCTGGTCTAAAAAGTGAGTCCAGGACAGCCAAGACTACACAGAAAAACCCTGTCTCAAAAAACAAAACAAAAATATTACCTCAAATTATTAAGATTAATAGAATAAATACAAGTTGTTTGAGATGGTGCCAGGAAGGAATAAATGCCCAGTAATTGATCAGAGAAATTAAATGCCTTATCAAAAGATGTACAGCAAGGTATTAATCTGAATTTATGCCTCATTCACAGCTTCACTTGCCACGTTTATGTATTCTAGTGTTGTTGAGCTAGGCTCTCCCTGAAGCACCTGCCCCTTGCAGAGGCAGGAGTCTCACACTTCTAAGATGCTAAATTTTTCTACGTCAAATCCATACCTCTTTCTGACTCCCACTTACTTACATCTGTCTATCTAACATCCCCTGTGGGTGGGTTCCTTCCCAGCCTCCTTGCCTCTCTCCTGTGCTCTCCAGTCCTCTCCTTTCTTCCCCTTCTCCTTGCCTTTTGCATCTCTCTCTTACGTCTCTCTTGGTGTTGGAGATTGAATTCTCAGGGTTTCTCACATGCTGGTTAAACACTCTACGAATGAGCTACGCCCCTGCACTTATATGCATTTTAAATGTTTGTTTAGTTTATATATTTTGAAGCAGAAGCTCTAGATAGATGGACTAAGCGGCCTTGAAGTCACGCTGGAGCCCAGGCTGACCTTGAATTTTGAATCCCCTTGCCTTAATTTACAAAGTAAATGACATTCATAGGCTCTGGGGATTAGGACATGGATATCTTTGGAGGGTCTTAGCTAGTTTACCACACACCTCACACTCATTGTACCTAAAGCTGAATTAATGATTTTTCAACATTACCCACTTAGAGAAAGACACCAACTGTGCAGTTTTTACTTCCCTTCTGCACCTGTTCAATTGATATGTCGCTCACTGTGATGGCATTTTTCTTTTTGAGAGGGGTCTCTGTGTTGCCCAGCTTTGGCTTAAACTCCTGGGATCAAGTAATTCTCTCTCCTTGCTGCCCTATGAAGCACACCTCATGCTAATCCCCACCAGCAATCTGATGCTTCATTATAGGGATTTGGTTGGCCTCCCCGGTAGCTTTACCGTTATAATCTACCTGCATGGTTAAGAAATAATTTCAAACATCAATATAATAAAAAAAAAAAAGTAAAGAAAAAAATCATTTCAAAGAAGAGCAAACTTGGGATTCTAGTTTCTGGTTCTTCTTGTTTGGTGTTACCCAGGCTAGCCTTGAACTCACCGTCCTCTTCCCTCAGCTTCCTGTGAACCACGACAGCTGGCTCATCTCAGGGTTCTTCTCCCCTCCCTCCTCAAGGCAGGGTCTCACTGTGCAGCTTCAGCTAGTCTGGAACTTGCTATCTGGAACTAACTTGTAGGTCAGACTGGCCTCAAAGTTGCAGCAGTCATCCTACTTCTGCCTCCCAAGTGCTGGGTTTACAAGCGTTACTGCCAGAGCAGGATAAGTCATAGGTTTTTTTAAAAGACATATTTATTTTTATTTTATGCGTATGACTGTTTTGCCTGCATGTATGTATGTGCCGCATATGTATATAGCGCTTGCAGAGACGAGAAGAGGGGGTTGGATCCTCTGGAACTGGAATCACAGATAATTGTAAGCTGCTATGTGCATCCTGGGATCCAAATAAGGTCCTTGGGAAGGGCAGTCAGTACTCTAAACCATTGAGCCTTTTTCTCCAGCCTCTAGCTTATGGTTTTTATTCAAGACACCTGCATTTTCCCAGCCCGTTAATGCCTTAGTAAACCTAGATAGTGAATTAATTCCTTTCATTGTCTCTGGTTGATGAGTTAAATCCCATCAGTCTGGGCTAGCATTGTGGCTCAGTGGTGAAGTGCTAGCTTAGCATTTAAGAGGCCCTGTGTTTGCTCCTCAGGACTCGGGGACTGGAGCTGGATTATGTTCAGTCCTTGTCTGGATAGTTTTATGTCAACTTGATACAAGCTAAAGTCATCAGAGAGGAGGGAAACTCAATTAAGGAAATGCCTCCATAAGATTGGGTTGTAGGCAGGCCTTATAGGACATTTTCGCAATTAGTGATTGATGTGGGAGGCCCATTGTGGATGGTGCCATCCCTGGACTGGTGGTCTTGGGTTCTGTAAGAAAGCAGGCTGAGTAAGCCATAAAGAGCAAGCCACTAAGCAGCATCCCTCCATGGCCTCTGTATCAGCTTCTGCCTCCAGGTTCCTGCCCTGTTTGAGTCTCTATTCTGATTTCCTTCAGTGACGAATTGTAATGTGTAAGGTTAAGCTAAATAAACCTTTTTTCCTCCCCAAGTTGCTTTTGGTCATGGTGTTTCATCATAACAATAGTAAGACAAACTCAATCTCATGTAGGAAAATGTGGGTATGTGTCTCGTGTGTATGCATGTATATTCAAGACCACTTCCTTAACTAGGTTTATTGTTTCTGTAATAACTTTCTTTTTTCTTTCCCTCTCTCCATCCCTCCATTTCCTTTTGTTTTACTTTAGAGGAAGGTTCTTGCTGTGTAGCCAAAGCTGGCTCCCAGGCATCCTGTTACCTTAGCTTCCCGAGTTCTGGCAATACAAGTGCATGCCACCACAATCAGATGTATCTGAAATTTCTGAATCTTTATAGTGTGTGTGTGTGTTAGAATCCAGGGCCTTGTGCATACCTATTAAATATTCTATCATTGGATTACACTCCCGTCTCTCTGAGACTTTTTATCGGCTTTTTGGCAAGGCTTTAGTCATAGTTGCATTGCTAGTGTTCAGGGTCTGTCATGATTAATCTTAACTGTTAATTTGGCATGATTTAGAATTACCTAGGAGATAAATCTCGAAGTATATGTATGAGGTTTTTAACACAGATGTTAACTAGGAAGAAAATACTCTGAATTAGGCAGCACCATTCACTGAGTCCAGACTGAATTAAAAAGAGAAAGTATGCAGAACACCAGCCTTTATCTCTTTCTCTTCCCTGACTGTGGAGGAAACCTGACCTGCTACCTTGAATACCTGCTGCCACCTCTTTCTCACCATGATGGACTACGTGCCCTCAAACTGTGAGCCAAAATAAGCTCTTCCTTCCTTAAGTTGTTTCTTGCCAGACATTTGGTCATAGCTATAATAGGCCCTGGATCTTACTTATCCACAAGACCTTAGCACAACTGACGACGTGACGGACATATCATTCAGGCCATAAAACTTGGCACATAGACAACAATATCTGCCAGAATGAAAACAAAGACCTAACCATCAGAGTCCATAGTTCTGGGAAAGTCTCTAAATGTCCTAAACCTGACTTTTTGGATTTTGTAATTCCACTTCTGGCTAACCATTCTCGCCAAGTTAATCCAGTATATGGTTTTTGTGCTTAAAAGTTCCCCCTGAGCCTTTATTCAGGGCCACACTGAGATTCTATTGTGCTCACCAGCCAGCTAATAAAGACTTTCTATTGGCTTAAACTTGTGTCCAAGTACAACAACAACAAGAAAAGTAACTCATGTGGGGGACACCTTGACTCCAAAGTACAAGGTTGCACAGGTCTAGCTGATCTCTTCACTCACCTTAGCTCACTGATATGATCAAGCCACTGTCAGTAACTAGAATTTTAATTTGGAGCCAGCTAAGATGGTACATATTTGTCATCGTAACACTCAGGAGGACTTGGAATTCAAAGTCAGTTTGGCCTACATAGCAAGGTTTTGTCTTAAATCTTATTCTTGGTATAGTGGCTCACTCCTGTAATCTCAGCACTGGAGAGGCTGAAGAGGGATCACCAGGACTTCTAGACCATCCTGGCCTGTAAAGGGAGACTCTGGTCTCACAAAGCACACACACACACAGGTCAAAGGTTGTTCTGTAGCTCCTTCCCTGTGTGTTGTGTTTTGTATGAGGACCTCAATTTCAATATCCTCATTAATATGTTTGCACAATCATCCCTTTTTCATGGTGGACAGTATCTATCTTATCCTTGTGTTTGCTCGCCCTATTT